AAAAGCAACTATTTTTTATTTAAATGGCATTGATGGAAATTGGTATATTTAACCTTGGTATATCTAAACGGTTTTTAAAATCGGATAATATACTATTCAAAAAAAGTAGGGGATATTTGATTTTGGGGGCATAATACTAAAATATGCAAATGACTACGAAAAAAGTCACTATAGAACCTAACAGAAGAAACATTTCCAGTTACATGTGACGCCCAAACGCACCAATAGCTACCGCATGGAATGCAGGTGATGCTTGGGATCATCATGGGGGTCCAACCCAAGATTTGCACGACTCTGACTTTGAATGTTACAGTCATTGTGGCATTGAATTCCAGGGTGGAAACATCAGTTTAATTGTTTTAGTGACCAGAAAACAAATTTTGATATGCGTCGGCTTACCCAAAATGAAAGGTTACGTGCCCTTGGCATGCTACAGATCGGCACAACACAGGCGGTTGTGGCGCGGACGATGAATGTTTCTCAGTCTGTCATAAGCAGGCTATGGTCCAGATACCGTGATACACAATCTGTACAGGACAGACCACGCTCAGGTCGACCAAGGGCGACAACTCAAGCCCAGGATCGATTTATCCGTACCTTGGCCTTGAGAAATCGTGTCATCACAGCAAATCAGATCAGCGCTCGTCTTCAAACAGACACTGGTGTGAGAGTGAGTGGCCAGACGATTCGGAATCGACTGCATAGGGGTCACCTTCGCACCCGACGTCCTCGCGTGATCCCTTGTTTGAGAGATCATCACATTCAGGCAAGACGTCGTTGGTGTAGGGATCGTCAACACTGGGATCGACGCTGGAGCAATGTGATGTTTTCAGATGAGTCAAGGTTCGCTGTTGATTTTTTGGACAGACGTAGGAGGGTGTGGCGTCGTCGAAACGAGCGCTTCCAAGACGTTAACGTCATCAGACATGATCGATTTGGGGGTGGTTCTGTTATGGTGTGGGGAGGCATCACTGTTGCTGGAAGAACGGCTTTACATGTTGTTGCAGGGCGTGTTACAGGCCAGTACTACCGGGACAACATCTTGGCAGTCCATGTTGTGCCGTTCGCACGACGTCATGGCCGCCGTTTCATCTTCCAGGATGACAACGCAAGATGTCACAGGGCCAGGATCGTTACAGGTTACCTCCAACAACAGAACATCACCACATTACCTTGGCCAGCACTGAGTCCCGACCTCTCCCCCATCGAGCATGTCTGGGACATGCTTGGACAGAGGTTACGTCAACGTCAACAACGTCCTGCCAATGTCCAAGAACTTGCTGCTGCGTTGCAACAGGAATGGGACAATCTGGACCAAAATGACCTTAGACGTCTCATTAGGAGTATGCCACGTCGGATCAATGCTTGTTTGGCAAACAGAGGAGGATTTACCCGTTACTGACTTGGTTGTGATGCTGTTTGACCCCGGGTATCATTTTACCCTTATAATGGTCAGTCTGTGCCTTACTTAGTCTAACGATCATTTGGAATAAATCGATGAATGTGAACTTCATTTCATTTTGTCATTTGTTTCTTCGTCAGTTTCATTAGGTGACTTTAATAACACTTAAAAATCAAATATCCCCTACTTTTTTTGAATAGTATAATTGTGACCTCTAGAGGGTCCACAAGCTAAAAGCGCGATTTTTCGTACAATCAGGGGCCATAATCCAGGAAGTTACAGTCTGATATGCGCAAATAGCGAAAGGAACCGAGATCTTTGGGACATAATGATATATTTTAAGTTTAATCAAAATCTGATAAAAATTGTGACTTCTAGAGGGTCCACAACCTCGGTATAAATATACCCTTAAAAAAATAGGGGATATTCAGAAACAATACAAAACTGCGGAAATGCACTGCTGTTTTTATTAGAGGTAACCAGTTTATGTTAATAACAGGCCAATTGCCTACACATGAACATAAACAGTTCATATGGGAAGTTATCTGGCGGCCCCATTTCACTCGCAAAGAGATACATCGTCAAAAGAAAAAATGGACGTTTTTGATTTTTGTCTTTGCTACACCAATCCTCAGACATTCAGCAATTCGTCGTGGCATGCCCCTAATCAACCATCCACACACGATTTGGGACAATCTGACCCACTCCTCTTGAAGTGCCACGGCCAATTCTTGCAGTGTTGTCGGTTGACGTTGACGTCGACGAACACGTCTCCCGATCAAATTAAGCGTAACACACTAAAGCAAAGATACGCTAAACAGTAAATCTTATGCAAGAACCGATAGGAAAGCAAACATGGGTAGATAACCAACACGCGGCAGTTTTCATCAGCCATTCCTTGATTAAGTGTCAAATTTGACAATGAACCCCTCCCACGTGTATGGCGGTATTGCGTGTCGCATGTGCAGCTCAGTGGTTCTGTTGGGGCGATAAGTTCTTCATCTGTGAACATACTCTCAAAGCATGTCAAGTGTCCATGACTATTTATCATACCACAACCTGCATAGGTATTTGCATTTCAATATCCCCTACTTTTTTGAAAGAGTATATTACATACTCTTACACTATTTGTGTACAAGGAGCGGCCATATTGTCAGGAAGTTTCGGTCTGATTTTCACGAAATTCGAATTCAACCGTTATTAGGATGTAACGGTGATACATATAAACGTTGTTTAAAATCGGATAATTCAGGAGGTTACAATCCGATATGCGCAAATATCGAAAGAAAATGAAGTGAAATGAAATGGGGATTAACGTCCTACTGTTCTGCTCCGAACTGGGCTAATGAAGACGGAATATCGAAAGGAACCACGATCTTTGTGTTATAAACATGCCTTTCAAGTTTCATCAAAATCAGATGAAAATTGTGACCTCTAGAGTATCCCCAAGCTGGAAATACGAATACGAAAACAATATACAAGAAAACCTGTAACCTATATTAATAATCCAAGCGGGTCATTTTTGAAGAAACATCAATAAGAATTAAGAAAATCAATGAAATCACCGTTCGAATATTGGTCAATAACACCGAACATCATAACTACGGCACGGATGGGGGTCACAAAATAAATGTTTGTCTATTATTTAATCTCTTGTATATTGATATTTAAATTATTTGAAAGGAGCTACTTCAGATCGGAAATATATAGCCCTACCATTAATAATCGCAAACATTTATACAGCAATTTTGAATTTCAACCATTGTTGATCCCACTGGAGGCCATCCCTCAAGTACAAAGAGACGGATTAATATAAGCTTCATAGCTTGTTTCCGAATCCAAATAAATTATTATGTATTGTTAATATATCATTATATGTTAAATAAATACTGTTTAAATCAAGTACAAACTCTCTACCCGGTTACAAGTAGCAGTGGGTGTGCGATGCTAAGTACGCTTACTCTTTGTGAAACACCTGATGCAACTTCTGATTTATTTGGAAAGTTTGATATCTTACAATTTCTGTTGTTCTTTTGTATTAAATGGTGTCGGATTCTGAAATCAAACTACAAACTATGGCTCAAGATAATTTTAAATAGACATGGGTGTCGTGCACGATGTCAGGTGTACTTTCTCTCTCTGGTATCACTTATCCGTGAAGTTCACAACTCCTGTTGTGTGGTAATTATGCATGGACAAAAATGCATTGAGGTGAGTTATGACGTCCAACGTTTTGGGTAATTTTCATTGACAAATGCATTCTTAGTCTCTTCTTGCCTTCTTCCCGTCTTCATTAGCCCAGTTCGGGGCAGAACAGTAGGACATTAAACCCCATTTCATTTCATTTCTTCTTGCCTTCCATATTTGTGTATACTTGGTTGGTTGTGAATAGGCGTTAAAACCAGTTGAACAAATTTATTTGTTCTATTCAAGGCTATAACGATTTACCATAGTTTATTCTGTGTTATTTGTTCATGTCGTAACCAAGAAATACAGCCACGGAGAAGGAAATAATGTTGATCAAAAGGCCAGGCTTTGTAAACTTTGTCGTCTTATGTCCTACTTAATGTTTACATTTTGTTTCATTTATCCTTATAATAACTCTCAAAATAATTTCTAGATTTACATAAATATAGTATATTTCCATTAAAACTGGCGTCACCAGTGGCATATTGTTACCTTCAATGGCTTAACAAAATGCGAATATACCGTTGTTACAGCAAAGGTTATTATTTACCATGGCTTGATGAAATTAGGTTATTTCAGTGATCGGGTCGAGACGTCTATCAGAACCCGCGCACATGGACAGGGACTCTTGCAGGAGCATACCATCACGACCATTATTCAGTGCAGATTTAAACCATATTGAGCATTTGTTGTAGATGTTGCAAAGAAGACTTGATTAGGCGCGACCACGGGCAACAAATTTGAAAGGTCTTCAGACTGATATCGTGCAGACCTTCAGGTCTGGACATTAACAATATAATTCAGGAGTCTGACACAGACTTTTTGTCTGTTCCCCGATCTCAAATTGGTGGCTCTAATTCTGTGCGCAAGTCATTAAATTGCGGGTTACGCAAGGATCAATGTGTGGGTCGATTTTGTTTACACTCTGCACTAAGCCACTAGGCTGTACCATCAGTACGCCAGGCATTCTATATCACTTGTATCCTGATGACAGTTGTCTGATAAATCTCTCTCGACAATCAGCATCTTAATCTTAACGAGGTGCAGCGATGCTTTACTTCTTTGAAGGCATGGGTGACCAACTTGTTGAAAATGAAAGACGACAAAACAGAATCTATGACCACCGGTCCCTTAAAAAAAAACATCGGCAGAAAGTGGAGGGTGGCGGTCTAAACTTTGATCAAATTAAAATATGTAATAAAGTCATGAAAAATGGGCGGACAGGACCATATTTGATCATTTAAAAATACTCTAATATTGCTAAAAAGATGCAAAAAATATGTTTAGTTAATGGTATGTTGCCGTCGGATGCAGACACAATATAAGTTGCCAAGTAACACACACACACTTTATATACAGTATTTATATAAAACAATTATTATAAATCTATCAAAAAACTCTTCTATTTGCTTTTTGTTTTCTCCCTTTATTAAATACAGGAAAAGCATATAATATTTACATTTATATACAAATGATACAATTTTTATAATTTTTTAAGCACAATGTCGTTTGGAATCAAGCTCTTTTAGATGGTTTTGTTAGCACTAGTATTTCTACAGGTTTACAAAGTTCTATGTGTTCAGGTCTTTTCTGTGTTTTTCTGCCTGGAATAGCTGCCACTTTCATCACAAGACTAATTTCAACTGGGCAAGATTCTACAAATAATTTAAACCATACATTTAACAAAAGTTCGAAGAATTTAAAGACTACATAGAAGATTTTTCATTAGCCAGCAACTAATTTAAAAAGAAAACAAGCCAACAGTGAGACTGATGTCCTCCCCCGAAATCCCAAAATAAGTAGATGACACATATTAATTGCCTGTAATAGCACATTTATTTTTTTCAAAAGTATCAAGCAATCAAACTGATTATGAACTATACACTAAGTTTCATCACTCTCTATCAGATAGAATCAAAGTTATCTTGTCCCAAGCTTAGCTCTGTGTAGCTTTAGCTCGAAATGTTTATAATTGTACTCAGTCAAGACATTCACCTAATGTCATGAACATCTACATCAAGTTTAAACATTCTACCTCAATTAAAAGCAGAGTTGTTCTGTTCCAAAGCAGACAATGCTCATTATCGAACTTAGTCAAGGTATTGATGTAATAAAACTATAATATACACCAAATTTCATCACTCTCACTTAATTAGAACTTAAGTTATCGTGTCCCAAGGATCAACCAATCAAATTGCTTATCTCTGCTTACCCTAAGCAAAAAATGCTCATCTTCGAACTCCATCAAGGCATTGACCTAATAAACACCTACACCAAATTTTAACGTTCTAGCTCAATTAGAAGGAGAGTTATTGTGTTCCAAAATCTCGACCAATCAAATTGCTTATTGCTCTGCTTACCCCGAGCAGAAAATGCTCATTATCAAACTTAGTCAAGGTATTGATGTAATAAAACTATACACCAAATTTCATCACTCTCACTTAATTAGAACTTAAGTTATCGTGTCCCAAAGCATCAACCAATCAAATTGCTTATCTCTGCTTACCCTAAGCAGAAAATGTTCATCTTAGAACTCCATCAAGGCACTGACCTAATAAACACCTACACCAAGTGTGACGGACAGACCTTTTAGTCCCCTGCTTTTTTTCGAAAGGCTGGGAACAAATATGTACCAGTATTAATAGTAATCAGAAAAGCATTGTCTGTCTGTCCCTATAATTACCCAGTAAATCCAACCCCCTTACAGTGTTACAGGCCAAGATAAACTTCCAAACGAATAAATCTGTATCAACAAAATTCTATAGTGTACATTCTTACATCATTCTTATTCACAGAACTCTATTTCTTGTGGGAAGAATGTTTTTTTTTTTTCACAATCCATACTTTCCGCTAACATGAGGTTAAATATTCATACACTTATATCTGAATGTTCACCTCAAGTTTTACTTAAATATGAAAAAATGTTGTAAAATAAGCCTCAAAATGAAGACCTTTCATACTAAGATCTACATCATAGATTAAAATGTTATTGTATAACTTACCAGACCAGAGAGCATGTGATAATATAACTTGTGTTGTTAGTCTGTGTCTAAGAGGTGATAATTTTCTCCAGTGAGATAAACAAGGTATAATTAATTGTTGTTGTTGATCAGGATATTTAACCTGGTATGAATAAAATATATTTCAGAGGGTGGGGGAAATGGGATGTAACATCCACAAACTAGAAGATTTATATTTTAAAAAATCACATATAGCAATGGCAATAACCCAGAGTACACAAAGAAACCCCACATGGTTAGACAAGTGACCATACTCCCTGTCTTGTACAATCCTAGCGAGAGAGAGAGAGAGAGAAATGGAGTTTAACGTCCACTCGATACAAACTAGGTCATTTCGGGACTAACATGATTTAATTTTATTTCAATAATTCGCTTGCGCGTAGGGGTCTTTAGCAGTGGGAGGAAACCGGAGGACCCGGAGAAAACCCACAAGGTTGGACAGGCGACCCTACTCCTTGTCACGTACAACCGGGGATTCGAAACCATGCCAGTTGACTCAATGACAGGCTTTATGATACAGCGTGCATGTCCTTACCATTCGGCCATCCAACCCCCTACAATCCTAGCATTGACACCACAACACATGACTCAGTGACAGACCTATTAATTATAAAATGCTTGCATGGGTTCTTAAAGAGAAAAAGGTTGCCTTCCTGGTTTTTTGGGGGACCTAATGGTTAACTGGCCATGAAATTGAACAGAGGATAAATTCTGCTGTCAGTTAATTTGGACAGCTTATATTAGGTGAATATTTTAAAAAAAATAAAAAATAAAAAAGAATAAATATAATTAAATAGCTTAAATGTGCAAAAATGGGGGAAAATGGGCTTAATAAATGAGAAATTGAGTAGTCACTAAGATATCAGATTTGGAGAATTATACTTGTGTACTTTTGACTTCAGAAAATAAAATATATTTTAATTGCCCTACCTGTATTAAAACATCTCTGGAATTTTCTACATTTTCTATTGTAGCATCAAAAGGTATTCCTGCTGTCAATCCAGCTGAAAACTTAACAGAACTGTCGAGACAGGTGACAGGTTCGTGTATGGTGACAGTAGCTTTACGAACTTGTTTATTGATAGGAAAACTGGTTGGACTGATTAACTCTAGTGATGTTTGAGTAACATGTCTTATAATGTTGAGTTTGGAAGGTTCAAGATTACCCAATGGTGCTATAAGATGTGAGGTAAATTCATCAGGCATTACATTACATGATTCTAAAAACCTAAAATAATAAACAGTTAGAGATACGATGTTACATTTATTTATTTACACGTTCAACCAAAGGAGAATATAACATAAAATGTTATTACCGGTACTATAAGACAAAAAATTAATATGAACCAAAGGGTGTGGGCACAATGTGTATTGAAGTTAATGTGAAATGAAATGAAATGAAATGGAGTTTAACGTCCTACTGTTCTGCTCCTAACCTGGGCTAATGAAGACGGGCATATGCCATACAGTGTACTATGAGGGAAATTTTGTCCAGATAGCACCACTACGGCCTGCTCTTATATCGATTTCCAACTGCCAAGGGATCTTTTACGTGCACGCCAATGTGTACACGGGACCTCGGTTTTTCGTCCCATCCGAACGACTAGACAGCTTTCCTTGTCAGCCCCTCCGTCCTGCATCACTGACAAGGGAGAACCACGCCGGAAAATCTGGATGAACTTTCTCGGCCAATGCAGGGATCGAACACCCGACCTCCAGGCTAGCGAGCTAGCGTCTTACCCACTTAGCCACGTGATCCCCCGAAGTTAATGTGAAGGGTTCAAGGGAAGGGTGTTGACACAAAGAGTAGGCAGTAGCGCATCTGCCCGGGCAAAATTTCCCTCATAGCACACTGTATCACTGACAAGGGGAAACCACGCCGGAAAATCTGGATGAACTTTCTCGGCCAATGCAGGGATCGAACACCCGACCTCCAGGCAAGCAAGCCAGCATCTCACCCACTTAGCCACGTGATCCCCACAAAACATACAGATATTAATATGAACCAAAGGGTTTTGGCACAAAGCATACTGATATTAATGCGAACTAAAGGGTTTCAGCACAAAACATACTGATATTAAAGTCATAGATCACATTAACTTCTGGTTTTACAGAACCAAGATTCTGTGACCTTGAGTAGGCAATTTCTTCTAAATTTATTGGTTATTAATAGAAACCAGCGGTTGCCAGGCAAGATACGCCCACATTTTGCAAGAGATGGATAAAGAACAAGCCATGGTGTAAAATAAGGTTAAATTCTCGTAGCACCACCACTTTTGTTGCGATAATAATTGAATTATAATTAAAATTCTATCATCACATCAACATCAAAACTCAAATTCTATTTTCGTACTTTCGAAGCACAGATTTTTCATTTCGAAGCACATTCGTGCTCCAAGGCACGTTATTTTAGGCCCTGTGACAAGCTAAAAAAAGGGATTTTTTGTACAATCAGGGGCCATAATCCAGGGAAGTTATAGTCTGAAATGTGTGAATATCGAAAGGGTCTGAGATATTGGGATATAAAGATATCATCAAAATCTGATAAAAATTGTGACTTCTAGCGGGTCCACAACCTTGGTATTACATACTTTTACACTATTTGCATACAAAGAGCAGCCATTTTGTAACGGAAACTTAATCGTTTTTTAAAATTGGATACAAATCATACCATCAGGGGCCATAATTCAGGAAGTTAGGGTCCAATATGCGCAAATATCGAAAGGAACCAAGTTATTTGGATTATACATGTTAAATTTCATCAAATCAGATGAGTCTCCACAAGCTAAAAACATGATTTTTCGAACAATCAGGGGACATAATCCATGAAGTTATGGTCTGATATATGCCAATATCGAAAGGAACTGAGATCTTTGGGAGATAGACCTATACTTCAAGTTTCGTCAAAATCGGATAAAAATTGTGACCTGTAGAGTGTCCACAAACAAATTGTGGACGGACTTCCAGACGGACAGGGGCGACGACAATCTACATTCACATGAAAATGTGGGCATATAAAAATAACAGATTAAATAAATGGTGTGCACACATCCATGCGAAAGTGGACATGATTTGAGTCTGATTACAAATTATCCAGCAGCCCTCTTAAATAAAGTACTTACTTTTGTAAGTGTTGAAGATAATTAATGTAAGTTTCTGCTGTACGAAGTTGTTCAGCTAACGAACCATGGGTTATAACAGATTGTAATTGTAAAGTCAAGGCCTGTAACTCTGTCTGTCTTATTAATACTAATTCTTTATTACCAATACCCAGAAATAATGTCTGTAAAGTTGTTGTTAACTTTAAAACCTACAAAAAAGTTTTTTAAGTGTATTGTTTTATGTGTAAGGAAATTTTTAGCTAAACTAACTTTTCAAACAAATATAAAATATTCTTCAGTGGTGCTGAAAAACAAAAATTTATCTACAGATTGGTAATATTGATACAGATTGTTCTGATTCACCAGTGTTGGGATTTCAAAATTTTTCTTGTCAGACATTTTTACCGATAATAAAGGGGCATGACGCTTATCCTTATTTAAGCAGGTGGTTTCAGACTACAACCAAAAATCATATGTCAACAAAATATTCAAATTCGTATCTAATAAAAAAATAGGTGTGTAATATATTCAAACAGCTAACACATGTTTTAAATGAATATACTTTATATATTTGTACTGAGTTAGTTTCTACAATAAACATGTAAGACCGCAGAACGCAAACCACATGGTATACCTTTTCTATGATTGGTCATTAGACAGGAAGTAGTATTATGTTAGAAAGATCAAAAGTCATTATAACCATAATGTACTCTTTGTACTTATTTCAATACTATAACGTAATCAAGTATATGTAACCAAAGATTAATACATAACAAGGTGCAACTCGTTATTTTTCATATTTAATTCCCAACGGTATTCATATTTATATCAATAATATTCCTACAAAATTACGTGTAATATGATAGAATAAAAGCATGCCAACTACTGTCGACCCATACCTGTTTCAAATTACTCCAAAATTACCAAATTTTTCGTGGTATAAGTCGATACATTTATAGCAGAAGTCTGGCATTTGTCTTATACCCTGTTTTGACTTATATACGGAAGGTAAAAAAAATATTTTTGGCAGTAACCGTTGCTCTACCACAATTATCTAAAATATTCTAAACAAAGCTTACCTTATCTAATGGAGCTATAACATTAGCTGATAAAGTCATTTTACCACTCGTTCTTTTAATCTCACTCATTAACTACAAACAAAATATATAACATATTAAATTCTTCACTGGAATTTTCTTTATTTCACAGCACACAATGCATATCTTGAGATAACAACAATGTACAGTTCACCATTATAAACCGATCAAGCAATAAAGATTTTTTTTAAAATTATGTTGTGATAAAGGATTTGATCAAAAACTTAAAATTAATTAGTATTAAAGACATTCTGCTACTTTTTACTAATCCAGTGTTATTACCTTACATCTAAAATAAATGAAATTGGGTTTAACGTCCTACTGTTCTGCTCGGAACTGGGCTAATGAAGACGGGCATATGCCATACAGGGAAATTTTGTCGAGATAGCACCACTACGGCCTGCTCTTATATCGAATTCCAACTGTCAAGGGATCTTTAACGTGCACACCAATGTGAACACGGGACCCCAGGTTTTGCATCCCATCTGATCGACTAGACAGCTGCCTTGTCAGGCCATCCGTCCTGCATCACTGACAAGGGGGAACCACGCCGGAAAATCTGGATGAACTTTATCGGCCAATTCAGGGATCAAACACCCGATCTCCAGGCTAGCGAGCCAGTGTCTTACCCACTTAGTCCCTGCGACCGCCCCATCTAAAAGAAATATCTACTATTGGTTACCTTGGTTATAAGTAATTGTGTATGTAAAAACATACTGGTACATTCAGCTACATGTGACGTAGACTTGTCTAACTTCTTCATTTGATCCAAATCTCTACAAAATACACAAACATTAAATAAAATACACTTCACATTTCCTAACTGAGAACAAAGACTAACATTATATAACTTCCATTCAATGGCTTTTACTTGATGTTAAAGTGCATTCCTGTGTACAAATTTTGTGATTTGATGGTATATTTGGACTAAAAACATATTCAAAGTAACCAATCTGTCAAAAATTTGCTTCAATTCCCTCTCAAAACTTTGTATTCGCCGGGGATACCTATAGTTATAAGTAAGCTGTTGTTACACGCAATGTCTGTCAACTTAGCTTCATTGGGGGGGGGGGGGGTCCATTTTTCAGAATATATTTATCATTTACTTACTGTCCATTTACCATACATATTGAGGCCTTAGAAATTCTTAATTATTTCTGTCAACTTCTTTTATTTGCAGAGTCTTTTGTACATTGACACCCCTCAATGTTCCCAAAACCACCTAACCATTTGATCAAGAAATAACAACCGCTCCCTCACGTAAGCTGGCACACAATAAGCTGGCAGATAACAATCGGGTAACAAGTTAGTGATACCCTGACAATTTTGCCCAGTACTTCCCCCATGGGAGTTTTTTGGGTAATCCAGTATTTTTCTAGTAAGATTGGGTGTCTATACTTTCCATATATACCAATTTTGACATACTTTTATTGGAAAGAACCACCTGATAAATACTTTTCTGGGAAAGTATCTTTTATTAATTCTCTGATTAAGGTTACGGGCAATCAGTTTAATTTCGTACTGCATCTATGTTATGTTCACATAGTCAATCTCAATAACTTCATGCCATATATTCGTTTGCATTATGGTCAACTACAATAACCAAATGCCACATGTATAATCATATTTGTACAAAATAACCTCATGACACATTTATATTGACAAATGGTCAATCAGGGCCCTCACAAACCTATGTAGATCCCCAGGGTAAAAGTTTCAGTGATGCCGTTGACCCCCAACCCCATAACTGCTTTGTTCAGGCCTCAGTTGACTTTTATGATTAAAGAAATTTTAGAATACAATTTTTATACTTTTAACACTTTATCAAAATAACTATTTATTAAATCGACTTATAAGTAAAATGTTTATGTTTTTTTCCCCTTCAACCCTCCATTTGCTTGAAAAACCCTATATCTTGGAAAAATAATAATTCTACCCACTCTATTTATTGAAATATGAGCTGCTTTGCACAGGTTATGGGGAAGCGAAGGCTGGTGATTTGCTATCTCAGACTCCAAGGAGGCTAGTCCATAAATATTCTGATATGCACTTAGATAATTTGCCCCCCCCCCCCAAGACGTGTCACATGCCCCTTTCAACCTTCCCCTAAGTGAGGGCCCTGTGGTCAATTGAAATAATCATATATATTGACATATGGTCAAGTGAAATAATTTTATGTCACATTTATGTCAATTATAATAATTTTGTCACTCTCATTCAAAAGTAAATTTGATTGAAATATAATAAAGTAATCAATGATTAGTACACACCTGACTGTAGCTTCTAATAGTTGTTGTGTCGACTGTGAGTCAAGACGATCTAGATTATCCAGCTGTGATACACACTGTGTAAGAAGACTGGATAAATTATCTTTACAACCATCTACGTTTATTTCTTCATGCTGGTATAACTAAAATATAAAACAATTCTATTAACTATTCATTTTGTATGAATTATTTAGTTATTGCCAATAAAAATGGCATTACAGTATTTTCAAAATCCGAAATGTGCAGTCATGACGTGCCATTGACATATTGCTCCGTGAACCTTGCACAGGATTCGACTTGGGGCCTCATTTTTTTTTTTGAGAAGTGCTTGAGAAAATATTCTGAACAAACAAAAACTACCTGTCTAGTCAATTTCAAAATTCTAAATCTTAATATGCTTCCCAATTTCATTATCAGATTAGGTCAATCAATATGGGGTGATCACATTATATCTAACAAATTTTAAATGAAGTTTTTTTATTTACACTGTTGAAAAAATGAATAAATGAATGAAATGGGGTTTAACGTTCTACTTTTCTGCACCAACTTCGCTAATGAAGATGGCCTTTACACAATATATTACCTTTAATACAGGAACATGTTCAGGTAAACTGCCACGTAAATATGTATAATGTCTGAGAGTATGTTCTTGAAATAATGGTAGCATGGTTGGACATTTTACAGCACCATTAAATACTAAAATCAAAACTGTTATATCTGATTTAGGTCAAAGAAGTTGATTTTAAAATAAATTTTTGGTGAGCAATATTACACATAGTTCTTACTTTACTGTTTTCCTAAAAATAAGCCTTTACATGTTTTAACTGCTCTAATTTTATCCCCTTTAATGACAAGGTTTTTGATGTACAGATCTATATTTTTTATACTTTCGATGGCCTATACTACAAGTAGATTTGACCAGTTGTACTGGATGATCGCGTCAGGGGTCGTACGAGCGGCTTTTGACGCCTTACATTGATTAATCAATCAGCGTTGATGTTTCTAGTGGTTTACCCACAGTTCCAGAACTCACGGTAACAGACCGTTTCATTGGCTAATCCCTCACTTCAACCAGAATGTCTGTAATATAAAAACTCTTCCAGAGATCCCAGTGTAGTGAAGACAAGTAAAATGAAATTTTTAACTATAAAAAACGAAACGAAATAGGATCTGTGTTTTAATCAGATTGGAGTTAGCTGATTTTGATACCCAGAAGGTTAAATAATCTCTTGAATTTGATGTTAACAGAAAAGATGGTGTCATGAAATCAACAGAAACTAATGGCCATAACTTAAACATACATTATGCAAGAGCTAAATCTGTCTATTGCAAGTCTTTCTTTAGGCCTGAAATGTTATCTAGATTATTAATTAGACATTAATTAACCTATCCAGACAATAATCAACTCTAGATGGCTTCGCTAGCCTGTGATCTTTAGTGGATTATGAGCCGATTTACTGCATAACTTTCCTTCATGATTTAACGATTAAATGGATAATCGAGACTATGCTGTTTATTTTATCGTACTGACTTTAGTAATAATGATCAAGGCTAGCCAGTTCTCGGTTCACTGTGGATCAATTTGAATGAAATTTTCGGCAAATTGCCTTTTTAACTATTATAGTGAGAACTGCCAACTCGTTATTGAATCTCCCATAATGTATCTTTAAGTTAGGACTGTGAATAACATTTGGACCAATATGTTTTAGTTATATTACTTGTACACACTACATATATGTCTGCCTTGTTGTCTAGCTTCTTGTATCTTTAATATATTTATAAAGTAAAAGGATACAAGCTGGATCATCCATGTCAGGTACAGGTGTATTAAAGTATGGATGTATACATAATAAATCTGGTACCAATGTTAATGTTAAATGGGGATGATTAGATCCTAAATTCTGGCCGCATCTATAAAATATAAAAATCATGGTACACTAAATACAAAATCTGATCGGCATATCAGATATATTTGTGAAAAAAATATTTCAAAATTCAAGAAACAAATATTTCTTTATATATTAATTAATTTCATTTTAAAGCCTCAATGGGCCAGTTAGCCAATACTCATTTTCCCTATTTAATTTTAAATTAAAATAAGGACTAAAGATATTCTTTAGACAGTAATCCAAGCCTGGAAACCACGCACACATGTTTTCATTGATTTTATAATATATTTCTGGCACAAAGTTCCAAATTTTCAGACACTAGCTCAGCAGTTCCTGACACTTTGTCACTTACAACTAACACTTATTTCCAGATCAGTAATTTTATGTCAACACAATACTTTGGTCAATTTGAGACCAAGATACCAAGATACAATTTTATTTATTTCTATGGTCTTATGTGCTCATTATCAGATCTAGACACTGTTAATGGGGGGGGGGGGGTATTGGTTTTGTTATTATTGTAAACCTTAGGTGCGCCTACTTGGTCACAGGGGTGCTTTCTTGGTCTAGTTATGTGCTAGATAAGTATATTTTGCATCGAATTCCAACTGTACATGTGTAGACCTAGATTAATCGGGTCATCCAAATAACTAGGCACCACTTTGTTTACACAACAATTTATTCTGAATAAAGAATTGGACACATAGATTTCAAAATTTACCACAACTAACCTCCATACATTAGCTTTATCTTGTGGGTATCTTTGTAAATTATCTAATAAAGCCATGACACAGGAATTGAGACATTCTTTTGTAGCCAATTTAATATCTCCTAACATGGCATGAGCTGTTTCTCTTACAATGGGAGAATAATCCTAAGTAGAGAAATATATGTAATTTAAATAATTTGACAAAAAATAAACAGGGAGATAACTCTTCTCGTTACCTCTGTTGTCTCCCTTTGGACCACATTGCCTCAATTAAACAGTATCAAGAAGAAATATATTGCATAGAAAAGTCTTTTAAGAGCAGCACACAATTATAATACCCACTATTTGTGAACCATATTTCAAGTCTCTACTCTCTACAATAGACTGTCCCATATTCTGTTCACAACCACCATAACTCTAGAAATTATTGACGGAAATTGCTGAAATTCAATAAACCTCTGTTTCAAAAATTTAAATGATGCATATAAATTTCATACATAAGGGATGATAACTTTCATCAATCAAGCATTAACCAGGTTAAAGAAAGTGAAAAAAGGGCCATAACTCTAGAAGTAATGAATGGAAATTGCTGAAATTCAATAGGATTCTTCTCTTCACTAATTCAAATGACGCATGTACATTTCATACAGATCGGCAGATAACTTTTGATGTTAGAGTATTCACAAGGTTCAATAAAGTGAAACAAGGGCCATAACTCTAGACGTAATAAACGGAAATTGCTGAAATTCAATAGGCTTCTTCGTTTCACTAATTTAAATAATGCATATAAATTCCAGAAAGATAGGATGATAACTTTTGGCATTAGAGTGTTCACAAGGTTAAACAAAGTGAAACAAGGGCCATAACTCTAGAAGTAATAAACAGAAATTTCTGAAATTTAATAAGCTTTTTAGTATCCCTAATTTAAATATTGCATATAAATTTCACAAAGATCGGATGTTAACTTTCGGCATTAGAGCGTTCACAAGGTTTAACAAAGTGAAACAAGGGACATAATAACGGAAATTATTGAAATTAAATAGGATTCTTCATCTCACTAATGTAAACAACATACATCAATTTTAAAACAACTGGATGATAACTTTTGGCATTAGAGCGTCCACAAGATATTGTGGACGATGGACGCACGGACGGACGGGCAGACGGACCGATGGACGGACGGACGGACCGATGGACGGACGGGGGCGACGGCAATATACGTCCACATTTCCATGTGGGCGTATAAAAACGTTTCTTCAAGGCCTATAAAATATGATAATTCTATAATTTACCTGTAAAACTCCCAGTATAATCTCTAGTTGATCTTCACGTAATACTATATTATGACTTATTTTACGTAAACTATTAATAGCATTCAATCTGATACTTTCGATTTCATCATTAAACATATCTATTATACTATCCTGGGATAGAGTAGAGAATTGTGCTGACTGGGCTGCTAATTCACATAATGAATCTAAAGCTGCATTTCTCACTTCTGTAACAACAAAAAACAAAACAAACAAAAAGTTTCAAACTGATATGTAGAAAATAATATTCAAGAAAAACATTTAAAAATTTAAAACTGTAGAAAATAATATTCAAGCAAAAAGTTTAAAAATTTAAAACTGATCTGTAGAAAATAATATTCAAGCAAATAAAAAAAAAAAAAAAATTATATTAGAAAATTGAACAGTTTTGTTAGTCAGATGATCTCCGCAATTGAGCAGTGGTTCCATTGGCTACTGTCACTACTTATAGCCAAATATATCAGTAGGTTCTCTTAAATAAACAATGGTTTATAATCTCATTTGTGTATTTCCTCCTCTTTACATTTTATTAACTTTTAAACACAAAGGTCTTCTTTAAAACAAAAGTTATTCTCACCCAGGAATTCATCTTCTAAACCATGTATAAAAGCACCACATGCTCCAATATTCATTAAATTAATACTTTCAGCATCTATTTCTTCTTTGGGTTTGTCGTCTGCCCATTTTTGACCAGTCGACCATTCACCAGATTGAAAATGGTCGCGGGCTCTATCACTTGCACTTTTCTTTCTCTGAAATTAATAAAAAAATGTTTTCATGGTTAGTACCATATATATTAAATACAATCATTAGAAAGAAAATTTACCTGAAAAAGGCTTTCATGGATTGTATAATACCTAATTAAGAAGAATCTTTAGAAAGAAAATTAACCCTGAAAAACTTCTGGTAGCAATGGAATATTGGAAATCAATGTCTTGCTAACAAAATTCATTTATATTTCTACATATAGTTAAACTTACCCTCATATTGGACATCAACTTTTTATCAAGTGTCTGTTCTAAAAATCGTGAACTGACAAGATGCAGAGAACCCTGAAAAATTGTTTTAGAAATTATTACCATTTATTTTTGGAGCAAAGTTATATCACAAAATACTGAATTGGTGCATAGAGACCTGAAAAACTGCTTTATGAATTATTATCAATTACTTTTGGTGCCAAGTTATACCATCAAATATTGAATTGTTAAATTTATTCAATTCCATTACCGGGTATTTAGATGGGAAGTTAACATACCAGTAAAGAAGCTGCTTCTGTTCTAACTTTAACAGATATATCATTCATCATATTACATATCTTAGCAAAACCATCATCCACCATTCTTATTTCTTCACCAGCTTCTGGTCCACTTACTGGTCTAATATACAAATCAAATTAATATAATATCCTTTGTCACAGTATATAGCAATTTATAAAGACTGCATTGATAGTCAGTCATTGTTAATCAATCATTGTTAATCAGTGCTAATCAATCATTGTTAATCAGTGCTAATTTTAATCATGGTGATGGGATGACTAAATCAGAGTCTTGTACATTGATAAAATTATAGCAAATGCATTGTAGAAAATTATTCTGAAGTCAGCAATGTGTATCTCATCCACATAACATAGTAAGAATAAGAAACCATTGCCATGAAAAATAATATAAAAGTCTACGCTTACACTTCAGGATAGAGATGACTGAGTACCCAAAGAAGTTTGACAGCTGCCATTCGACCAGCTTCATGATCATCAACCAATGAATTACATGCCTGTTGATATACTTTCTGATCTAACTGTATACCTCTCTGATGCAGAGATAACTGAAAAATAAGTTTTAATTTTATTTTTCTGGTTTAACAAGCAAACATTTTGTTTTCGACAATCCTTTGCTTAGTCCTTTCTACACAGTATTTGTTTTATTATTATTATTATTATGTCATTTGTGAATCAGCCATTTGTGATTACTTTCGCACTGTCTTCTAGGATATGCTTTTCTTTTGTCATTACAAATGGCGTATGTAAAATACACGACTCACACATATAGTGATTTTAAAATGTTTATTATGTCTAAAATAGTTGATATGAGGAACCCATACTTTCACGGTAAAACAATATCAATACTGATTGAAATGTATCAAAACTGAATTCTAATTCGTGTTTTTAATTTCGAATATTATGGATAATATTAGAGGTTGAGCTCCTTTAATCAATACTTAACAAGCATTCTTGGGGTATGGCTGAAGCAATACAGCTTCCTTAAAAAGACTGATACTGTGAATACATAATCGAAATATTTATACTTGGAATAAGCGAACTGAATCAAACATCTGAAAGTTTAATAAATGATCACCATTGCCTGTAAGGAGCTAGAGCGAACCCTAGGATCTTGATCTTGAGTAAAATCACCCAGTATATCCTGTACATTAAACACCATTCCTAAATCAGTTTTATAGTCAGATGATCCAAGCTGACCTATCAAAATCAGACACTTGCTTCTTACAAAGTGACTTGAATTTTTTAACATCTAAAAAAAAGAAAATTTAAAGTAATTAGAATGTTTCATTTAAAGAAAGCAGAGAACTCCCTACAATCCCTTCTGTAATTCTACAGAAATAAAACTGGAAATCTGGCAAAAGCAGTACTATTATCCTCTCTGTATGTCTATTAACTGCAACTTCTTGAGGTACTTCATAATGATTTGTGAGCAAACTGTCTATAGTGGACTCAAATGTGTCATGAACTTTTGTATCAAGACATTTTACTTGGTAGATACTAAATCAGAAAGAAATCAGTAAAGCCATAAAAGATCTTTGAAACAATTTTAACTAAGATTATAACCTACCTGTACTGCTTTCTCAACAAGTTCTTGTATAACAGCAGCATTATTAGCTAAACTCTTGCCAGCAGTAGTTAAAGCTGCTATTAAACCACTCTGTACTTTATGTGATTCTGAAATAAATATCCACACGTAAATAAATACAACTTTAATAAAGTTAACAAGAACACCTTATGATTAAAGATACATTATGGGAGATTAGATAAAGAGCTGGTAGTTCTCGCTATAATTGTTAAAAACTAGATAATGTAAAGGAAATTTGCTGAAAATTTCAGTCAAATTGGTCCACCCTGAACCAAGTATTTAGCGATTGAATTTTTGGCCTAGCCTCGATCATCGTTACTAAAGTCGGTATGATAAAAAAACATAGTCTCGATTATCCATTTTTTGATTTAATCAGAAGCAGCAGAAGGGTTCTAATCCAGTAAATATCGCAGACTAGCGATGCCATTGAGAGTTGATTATGGTCTGGATAAGTTAATTAATGTCTAATTAATAATGTAGATAAAAATTTCAAGCCAAAAAAAACACCTGCAATTGGCAGATTTAGCTCTTGCATAATGTATGTTTAGTTATCTACTTTGAAAATCTGTGATATATTTTGAACATTTGTGACCCTATTTACTTCATGATTTCATGTTTTTACCCCTTGGCTTATTGTAAAGTGCTTTTGTGCAATCTTTGTGGAAATGACGTTACTACACCTAAATACATAGACTTACTCTCTGTATTTATCAAAGACATTAGACCATTTATAAATTCTGCCACCTCACATCCTGGCAATTTTGTCATTTCACCAATTAGATCAGCTATTTTACATCGTACAATTGTTTCCTTCTCATGTGTAAAATGGTCTAAAAGCTGAGCAAGAACAGGTGTAGTGACATCTCCGGGTATTGGTAAACTATTGCCAAATCGCAACAATATATTCAGCACGTCATATGAGCTGACTGCAGCTGACAAATTAAGATTCACTTCAGTTGTAGCAGGTTTTTGTACCAGTCGTAGTTTCTTTGCTTGTTTTGGTTCTTCCTGGAATAGGAATCAAACAAATGAATGCTTATGTAGTATAGTATGTATGATAATTGTGATGAGGGCTAGATAGATTAAGCTGAAGATAGTATTTTAAGCTGTTGGCATTAGTTTTGTTTCAAAGATACTACTGTACTGAATATGGCCAGGCAAGCATATAAAAAAAAAGTACGGTAATAACATCTCATCTCCAGATTTCCAACATCCATAAATTGTTTCAGTCTCCCTGACAGTTTCAGGTTTAAGTTTTTTTGCAGAAACCAGGAAAATTTTAGACATTTTTTGTGGTGATTGTATAAAACACACTGATACAAACATACTAATTCAAACGACACTGCAAAATAATCTTAAAAATAGATCATATTTACTTATTTATGATAAATTTAATTGAGCAATCCAATTTTATAAAGGCACATAGCTCTTTGGTCTCAAGAAATTCCTTATAGTTGTTATTCCCTATTATAGACTCTAGACCGTAGTTTTCAAATTCAAAGTCTTCGGGGGGTGCTTCCTTTGAATTACAATTACACTTTACAACATGTATTTTTCCGGGTTGGCTTGGGTTGTTATGTCTCCAGGACACATGGTTTGTATAACTGTAGCACCACATCAATGTTTTGTTTAAATATATTGTTTTTTAAAATTTCATTCAATTAAAAATGTTTGGCCGTTACGACTAAATTTTTTGGCCATTAAGACCAAACTTTTTGGCCGTTATGACCAAACTGTTTGGTCATTATGACTAAAGTAAGACCTTTTTGACCAGATCGGTTTTGGCCGTTATAGGGCCATTATGACCACATCCCTATCCTTTAGACTATGACTATACTAGCCCCCAGATCCATTCACTTTTTTTTAATTGTTTGTCTGTTTGTGTTTTTCTGAGTATGATGTCTTGTCCGTGTATTTGTTTTTGTGTAAATTTTGTGTGGTGCAGTCCCCCTGCACTTACTATTATTATAGTAATACCGGTATTACCTGAATAACTTGGCTGTATTCAGCAAGAGCCCTTTTCTTTAACAATGCCGCCATTTCTGCTGCAATTTCATAATTAAATAATTTTCACACTAAAACAACAACAAAAAGTTTGGGGTTATTTCAGAATTCTAATGATATTTATTAGAAAAACATATCTTTGATCGACAATGCAGAACACAACACTGCTATGACTGCCATGATGTAAAGGGGAATAACTCTTACAATCGACTCTTTATGAAAAGAAATAGAATCGGTGTGCTTTTGGTACTTTTGATTTCCAGACATTTTCTGCGTTCTAAATCCAGCGACATTTGTTACTGGATGAAAAAGTTAAAGCAAGATGGATGTAATAGTCGAAGAACACGTCAATCCTGAGGATTTAAAGGTTTAATTACGCATTAATTTATACTAGAATACTTAAATAATATATTTCATATAATTCTCGAACTGTTTTCTACACGAAAAGTCTGGCTGTTGTGACAAAGTTACCTTTCTATAGCCTAGTATATAATGTAATACCATAATAATAAAATTATTGATTTGTTTTTAAATTTATGTAGACAATGCTGAATGCAGTACCTAATAATATTTGTTCTAAAGAATGCCAGTCAAGTCGTCCACATGCAAAGTCGTCCACACGAAAAATCTGGTTAAGTCATCCACACCCGTTGGTGGAGTCGTGCACAATCGTTGGTGGAGTCGTCCACACGACTTAGTATAATTTCTGGATATAGTAATACAATAAACTTTATTACAAAAACATTGTTAAATACTAATCAAAAATGTTACAATCATAACGTCAATTAAAAGCGAATATACTTTATTAAAAAAACATCGTTAATACTAATCAATCAATCAAAAATGCTAAAACCATTACGCCAATTAACAAACAATACAAAATACAAGTATACTTCATTGCAAAAACATCGGTGAACAACAAACTAACAAAACAAACAGTAACATCGGCGTTTTGAGTACGAGTAAATTGTGTACGAGTCTTATTCTTAGTTGTGGATGACATCACCAATAGTTGAGTACGAGTAAATTGTGTGTGAGTCTTATTCTTAGTTTTGGACGACATCACCAATAGTTGTAGACGACATCACCAATGCCTTGTGAACGACTCCACCAATGGGTGTGGACGACTTTGCTTGTGGACGACTTCACTGGCACCCGTTCTAAATATCTGACCCTCTAATAGTATTTTGGACATAAAGGAATTTTGTGATCTGTTTTATTGGGAATAATTGTACACCTACACGATCAAAGCGATGTGCAAGTTTTCAACAACTTTTGGAAAAATAAATGAAATGGGGTTTTTAAACGTCTTACTGTTCTGCTCCTATACTGGGCTAATGAAGATGGGCATACTCCATACATAGCTACAATTAAATGATCGTTAAACTGTGTTTAACGCTACAATTGATACAGTCTAAGACTCCTTACGCAAGTTCAAATAGGTTCAAACGCACAATTGTCAACACATATCGATTACCGTTTGTATTGAAATAAGTAATATTTCTATCACAAATAGTGAAGACTGGACCACTAAAATAGTTACCGAACAGTTTTTCTTTATGGTAATGCGTTCTACATTTTCAAAGCCATGTTTCTTATAATGTGGAAGCCGCCATGCATGACACCGGCCAGTTGAAATAAGTCAGTAGGCGAGAAATTTCGCGTAGCAGTTGGGTTTCATACTATTAAGCGGTAAGGCTTCACCTTTATTTCAATGAGAATTGGTTTATTATATGTTAAAGGAGCTAAATCACTAATATTTGGGACCTAAAAATTGACCCAAATGGATCTGAACGCATATAATAATGTAATCGGATTCTATATAAAATGATTTACATTCAATTGTTTCCGTTTTGACTCTTAATTTCAAATCAGTTATGTCCAGAGAAATACGGCATGAGTCTCAACCGAATGCAAATTCCTAGCCTCTGATTAATCCAGTCTATGGCGTGACCGTTTGACATGGGATTTGGAATATGTGTAGCCTCGTTCTTTCTAGTCACAAGTGACGCTGAAACGCACTATGGTGCACGATTCGTGTACCAATGGTAGTATGTTTATTTTGTTATAAATATTTGATATCAGAAGTCTACCTTTTCCCGGTAAAATCACAACATCAATGTTGATTTGAATTGACAAATAATTTGTGTTTTCACCGTGTAAGACTTTGGATGATATTGAGTTAGAGACTTAGCTTAACATATATTTATAAACCAATTCCCATTGAATAAATGTGAAACCTTACCATCTGGTGTGCAGTGCCAATAATGTTATATTTTCACTTAGACCTTTTGCTCACATTTTAGAAATTTGAAAAAACATATCGTGACCAAGAATTGAGAGGAAAACCCAGTGATAAGGCTATGTTTGATTATGCCTGGTGCCTAGTTCGAAGCAAATATTTACAGGATATGCAGAAGGGGGTAGCATTGCTTGAAGGTATGTCTCAAAAATGAAATTCTAATTAACTTTACCACAGAACAAGATATTAAAACTTGAGCACAGAATATTTTAACCTATTGTATTCTAGCAATCATGGCAATGAAATACCATGACAATTTTGGTAAAAATATCAATTGCATGAAATGTTTGGGACAATGTTTTACAGTTTAGTTATTATTTTATCTGTTTGACATTAATAACATATTTCTTGAACACAATTTGAAGCAATCTGTTTAACAGAGATATTACGAAAGTCTTCTAATAACTCTGTAAAAAATGACTGCTTTCAACATGTGACATCACATCACACGATGTCAATCATTGGCCCAATGGCGAATGCAATGTTTACATAAGATTTACTGGTCCAGGTAGAATGGTGCCTTTTACTCATTTTGCATATCCATCTAAATAGGAAATATTTTTTCCTACATATATTTTAAGCACCTTTATTTATTTTTCTAATTGTAGTGAACTAGTAGATATTTTCGGCTGATCAATGTGAATTTGAAGGTCACGGTTATCTTTTTTTTTTAGCAAAACAATATGTTATTTTATGACAATACATGCAGTCTACTTTCTTTTTTTTTTTTTTGTTAATATTTTCAGAATTATTTCGTAAAACTAAAGATGAAGTTGCTAAGAGAGACTATTTATATTATATGTCTATAGCATATACCAGAATAAAGGTTGGTTTACGCTAATAAATTACTAATACTTCATATAATTAACTCGTATATAATTTCAACCATATGTAAGGCCATTTTTACCAACCACTGGCTAAGAATTCCCATATTCCGAAAGCAAGAGTTCTTATCCGCCCATTAGACATTATGGTTGATTGTTTTTATTGGTCAACACAAGATACTCTTAGAACATGGGTTTTGTTTCTAGAGAAAGTTTATTTTTATACACTCACATTTTCATGTTGACGTATATTGTCGTCGCCCCAGTCCGTTCGTCCACAATTTGTTTGTGGACAGTCTACAGATCACAATTTTTATCTGATTTTGACGAAACTTGAAATATGGGTCTGTCTCCCAAAGATCTCGGTTCCTTTCGATATTGGCATGTATCGGACTATAACTTTATGGATTATGGCCCCTGATTGTACGAAAAATCACGTTTTTAGCTTGTGGACACACTAGAGGTCACAATTTTCATCTGATTTTGATGAAACTTGAAATGCATGTTTATAACCCAAAGATCTTGGATCCTTTCAATATTCGTGCATATCGAACGAACCGTAACTTCCTGAATTATGGCCCCTGATTGTACGAAAAACCACATTTTTAGCGTGTGGTCCCTCTAGAGGTCACAATTATTATCTGATTTAAAAAACTGTACACATATATCACCGTTACACCATAAAGTTGATTGAGCTCTAATTTCATGAAAATCAGACCAAAACTGCCGGACAAAATGTCTGCCCCTTGTACACAAATAGTGTAAACATATGGTATATGGATTTTGATCCGATTTTGATGAAACTTGAAATACATGTTATAACCCAAAGATTTTGGTTCCTGTCAATATTCCCGCATGTCGGATCGTAACTTCCTGAATTATGGCCCTTGTTTAGCTTGTTCTCTATCCATCTCTTGCAAAATGTGGGTGTATCTTGCCTGGCAGCCGCTGGTTAGGTTTAGGAACTGGTGTCAGGGGAAGATAACTTATTTTTAACACTACTTTGTAATGATTATAAGATGATAAATTACTATAAATTCTAATTTCGTCAGGGCATTTTGCCATCATAGCTACAAATTGCATTGAGTGTCATGCTCAAGACAGGGTATGTTTACCCTTTTCTGTTTACTTTGGTACTAAATGAAAGAAACAGTCACAATTCTAGGAAAGATTTTGATTAAAAATTGGTGACAGAACTGACATGATTTCCACCTGTCAAAATTTGGAGTTTAGGAATTCTGAACAAGGATATGCTTTCTGGGAATACAGCAGTTTATGGTTCTCTTTAACTACTGTCTATATGGGCAAATTTTATTTGCATTTTTTCTTCTAGGAATATGATACAGCACTAAAATATGCCAATGCTATTAGAAAAATTGAACCTGGTAATAAACAAGCTGTACAATTAGAAGATTATATTAAGAAAAAGATGAAGAAAGGTCAGTTTATATGTCATTTGATACATTCTAGTTAGAATTTGAAATGAATCCAACTTTACCTCCAATTCTAATTGTTAAGGATTCCTTACATGTACGATGTGGCATCCAACTTGGTTTTATTGTGCCATCTTAGTAACAAGGCAACAATTTCAACTAAACCCCTACCAAGTAATAACCAGTTGTTATGATTCTTCTCAGACAACACCAGAATTCAAACCTTTGACAATCTAGTTGCGAGTCCAGTGCATTGACTGCTTAGCTACTGCCTCTGCCTTGTCCCTCATGTTTTTATACGCCCACATTTTCATGTGGACGTATAGTGTTGTCGCCCCCATATTTCATTTAACACCATATTTAGACCTGATCATGAGCATTTATATCTGCTCAAGACTAAAGTTGTTCCACCATTCAGTATTCGCATACAACTCCTTTTGTGTGAGGCTGGTATCAGCCTTGACAGTATTGCCAATACCCCTTTCTTTAGGACTCCACCGTGGGCTATATCTCCCCCAAAGATCGATTTTGATCTTACACAACATAAAAAGAGATACTAGCTCGACGGTGTTTCAGTCGGTCTTTAGAGAGCTAAGGTCTAAGTATGGTGATTATGCTCCTATTTTCACGGATAGTTCGAAGGATGGTGATCGGGTAGCATCGGCTACCGTGACACCATCTGAGATCTTATCTGTCCGTCTTCCGCCTGCTGCTTCCATATTTACAGCTGAGCTCCAGGCCTTTCTTCAGGCCTTGGAGTTCATTCAAACTTCAAATACACTACAGCACGTCATCTTTACTGATTCTCTGTCCTTGCTTCAAGCAATTAACAATAAACAGCATGAACACCCATTAGGAGTAGATATTTATCGTCTGCTACTATCTTTCGAGTTAAACAGCAAAGACGTTGTCATTTGCTGGCTTCCCAGTCACGTTGATATAAGGGGGAATGATCAAGTAGATTTTGTTGCCAAAGCTGCTTTAGATCTCCCCCAATTACACTTTTTAATACCATATCGCGATTTTAAATCATGTATTAATCAATTCATCTATAGCCGCTGGCAACGGTCTTGGGATCTTGCAGGCACAAACTTCATCACATTAAGCCTCTCTTAGGGGACTGGCCAAACTCTTACAGATCCAATAAGCGGGATGAGGTTGTTTTGTGTCGCTCTCGTATAGGTCATACTTTTTTAACTCACATTTTCATATTAAAACGAGAGCCTCAACCAAAGTGTGAACACTGTCAAGTTCCTTTGACAGTTAAACACATTCTGATTGAGTGCAAGCATCTCAAAGATGTAAGATCACATTTTTACCCTTGTCAGTCATTACATCACATGTTTGCCCAACCAGGTTTATATGGTAAAGTGTCAGGTTTTTATTATAAATTTTAATTTGTATTTATATATCATTTCATTTTTGTATTTTAGATAGTTATATGTGTAAAAGATGTATTTTTTTTTTTAATGTTTTTTACTGTGATATTGTTTTTATTTATGCATGTAATTTGTTCTGTGATATAATTTAGCCCGTCTCGAAAAAATCACCATATGTTTGGCGCAATATAGCCTGGTTGGAGCTGACGTGCCATAAAACAACATTTCATTCATTCATACCATTCGTCCGTTCACAATTTGTTTGTCGACACTCAACAAGTCACAATTCTTATCCGACTTTGTCGAAACTTGAAATATAGGTTTATGTCGGTTCCTTTCGATATTGGCTTGTATCGGATCAAAACTTCACAGAATATGGCCCATGATTGTACGAAAAATCACTTTTTAGCTTGTGGACACTCTATACATGTAGGTCACAATTTATTATCAGATTTAGTTGAAACTTGAAATATATGTTTATAACCCAAAGATCTTGGTTCCTTTGGATATTCGCACACATCGGACTGCAACTTCCTGGATTATGGCCCTCGATTGTATCAAAAAATCGCGTTTTTAGCTTGTGGCCCCCCTAGAAGTCACAATTTTTATCTGATTTAAAAAACATTCAAATATATCACTATTAAACCATAATGATTGGCCGCTCTATCTATGCACTCAAATAATAATATCAATGTTTTGTGGATCCTCTTCTAGAGGTCACAATTTTGATGAAACTATAAACATGTGTTTATGTCCCAAAGATCTCAGTTCCTTTCGATATTCACGCATATCCAACCGTAAGTTCCTGGACTATGGCCCCTGATTGTAAGAAAAAATTGCGATATTTATCAGATTTTAAAAATCATTTCAATATATCCAATTGATGATTGAGATTGATTTTGTAAAAATCATACAGAAACTGCCCGACAAAATAGCAGCTCCTTGAACACAAATAGTGTCAAAGTATATAATACCAAGTTTGTGGACCCACTAGAGGTCACAATTTTTGTCTTGATTTTGATGAAACTTAAAATATGTTTATATCCCAAAGGGCAAAGATCTCAGTTCCTTTCGATATTCACGCATATCGGATCGTAACTGCCTAGATTATGTCCCCTGATTGTAAGAAAGATTTGCCAGGAAACTAAACATACGCCCACAGCCGCTAAGTCGTCCGAACATTCAACAAGAGATGTCACATATTTTTTCTATTGTCGGTAATGAAATATTTATAATACACAACTCATTTATTATAAGAAAATCATTAGAATTTGTTTGGCTTTTAGTACTGTCCCATGCTAACGTTTAGTATGCAAAACAATTAATATCATAGACTTAGCTATTCAAATTATTAAAAATCATTGCAAATCAATATGCTTGTTCGTCTAAAACCTTAAACTCTGTGTATCAATTTAAAGTCAATTGGATGATAACTTTGGTCTCTAGAGCATCCACAAGATTTTTCAAAGTGATCAAGGTCCATAACTCCCTTGGCAATTATTATCAGAAATCATTGAAAATCAGTAGGCTTCTTCGGCTCATGGCCTTAAACACTGTGTATGAATTTAAAGTCAATCGGATCAATGGCCAGAACTCTGGCAGCAGGGCTCACGCTGGCTTTCTATTTTTTTTCCGCCAAAATGGATGATAATTTTAATATAAGAAAAATGTTCATATTTTTTTCTGCCAACTGAAATACTTTATCTGCCAGAAATGTGTGATAAAAAAAAACAACACCTAACAATTTTATGTCTCAGCTAGGCTTATTATAAAACAGTTACCGACATATACACAATACATTATACAGCAGCTTTAAAAATCTGTCTTTACATAATAGATTAGCAAAGTTTGGATTTAATAAGATCAGATTTTAGTTTTGGTGACTTTAGTCTATTTGAACACCGTACTGCACAATATATTTTCAGTATTTACACGTCAAATATCATCACAGGATTGCTAATTTTCTATAAATTTATGTGTTGCGTGCACAGTGGGCCTATTGTTATTTTCAGGTACCGTAAAGATATCAGAATCTGAATCCCTGATAAAATGGTATAAATTTCAATTATATTTGTTAAGAGATCCTTACAATATACCCGTCGTTAACTTTTAGAGCATACTGGCGACAGTAATAACTAATATGATACAAATGGCGAACTGTTTTCTCGCTCAAGAATCGTCACTGTTCAACTCGTTCTTACGTTTTCGACGAGTGGTGATATTATAATTTGGAGTAATGATATCCGAAAGGCATGCCTGTATTTTTTACATGACTTATATGGAGCCACTGTAAACGAATTCAGCTATCAAAAATATTTAATTCTCTTCGCAAGGAACTGTCGGCCATTTTGATTACATGTATTATCATTTAGTGTATTTTAAGACGAATCGAAACGGGGTCACCCCACTATGCCAGTTTTTAATCCCTGAACAGTTAATGATTATCGGAGTATAATTAAGACCTTAATCAAGTGGGCCAGTTTCATGGTGTAGAGAACTTAGTAGGCTTGTAAAATTAATTTTAGATTTATTGAAAATGTATATTTTATAGGAAAATGTTTGTAAGTGAATGGAAAATGATTAATGGAAATGTTTAAATGATAACTTGTACATTCTATGCTAAAATGATAAAAATGTGTAAAAAAGTGGATGTGAAATGGAATAAAGTATTGAATTGAACTGTCTTTCAGTGAATGATAACTTGTACATTCTATGCTAAAAAAATCTATAATAATATGTAAAAAAGTGGATGTGAAATGGAATAAAGTATTGAATTGAACTGTCTTTCAGTGAACTGTTTTAATCCTCTGGTAGACCCTTAATTAATCCTAACTAATCCCCATTGTTGCATCATTAATTGTCCATTAATCCCTTAACAAAGGAACTGGTATAGTGGGGGTAAATCAACGAAACATCAATTAATCACCGCTTGGATTAATCATTAGGAGTAAATAATTACTTGACATAGGCTTTATATATATCATTCACAATTAACAATCAATTAATCAAAGACAACTGATTAGTATTACTCATTGACGCGATCCGGATTATCGGCGGCTAGTTGATTAATTTATAGTATCCCGCCACGAGATTGGCACTCAATAAATACGATTAGAATTTTTAGATTTTTTTCCCACCAGTTCTCAAAAAGAATCGCCAGTACCGCAAAACATTATCGCCATCATCATCGCCAAAATCAAATTTTAATCGCCACTTTCATATTTTTATCGCAAATTGCGACTTTGGCGACAGACAGTGTGAGCCCTGTCTGGCAGTAACTGTTGGAAATAGCTGAAAATGAATAGGCTTCCTCATCTCATGACTTTAAACACTGTGTATAAATATACGCCCACATTGTATAAAAATCGCTTTTTTGGAGGGGCTTGTACTCTATAAATCTCTTGCAAAATGTGGGCGTATCTTGTCAGGCAACCGCTGGTTCCAGATTCTTATTACAATTATATTCCAAGTAGTAATGGCTAGTGCTGTGGGGGATCAACCTTCCTTAAAAATATGGAGATTGTATAATTATTATTTTAATTCTACTACTAATGTATTTCTATATGTATTTTACAGAAGGTCTGATGGGAATAGCAATTGTTGGCGGAGCTGCACTAGCACTTGGTGGAATAGTCGGACTAGGACTGGCTGCATTATCAAAAAAATGAGAAATACCTTATAATGACATTTATGAATGAAAATAAAGTTAAATAAGGTGGTAATTATATATATTAATGGGACCTGCCATTTATATTTATAACATATTCTATTTACAGTAATCGTGGGTTTTGATAGCTGTAAACAACATGATCATATATACATGATTCGAAAGCAGCAAAATGAATAGCCACAGATAATCATGTCTTCGTGTTCTTCATGTTCTTTTTATTCAGACAAGTAAAAATTTGTTGTTTTTTTTTATATATATATAAAATAAATTATTTATGATGTTATCTGATCGAATTATTATATGAAAATACGAAATGTCTGTTTTTTGTTAATATTTTCATTTCACAAATTTTGGTGCAGACATGCGTATATATTTCATTTAATAACCATATATTTTTAAGTTCATTAAATGTATTTTATATGTAATTAAACATTTAAGTATCTTACTAACTGTTTTGGTAATGTTACATTTCTTTAAGGAACAGCACACCAGAATTTACATCAAACATAAGAGTTTAAGACAATAACAAACAAGTTTGCAAAATTGTTTCTTCAATACATTAGCACGTCTTGTATATGGCCATATGCAGTTTGCATTAATTTATGCTGCTACTACAGTGCTCTGATTTATTTAAATAGGGAATCTATTATGTTTTATTATGTGAATGTTAATATCAAAAAACTAAACTGTGCTGGGCCCAGGTTTTACTACAGAATGGCCAGTTATCTATGTACATATTGTTTTGTGTTAAATGTAAAGTAAATCAATGTCAATCATTATCACTGGAATTTGTATTTTATTTTTGTACATTTAGGTACTTGTTGGAGTGCTCAGTTTTCCCTTTCCCTGTACAGACATGTGCCACTGGACACAAATGATTTTAATGAAACTTTTAACTCACACCAGAGACCAATTTTGACCAAAATAACACTGATCATATTTTTTTCGATAACAATATCTTAGTTAGGGAGCTTCAGGCTTGTGTGTGTGTAACAATTCTTCAAGGATGAAGTTCACATATTCCATTATAGAGAGAGAGAGAAATGGGGTTGAATGTCCACTCGACACAAACTAGGTCATTTCGGGACTAACATGATTCAATTTTATTTCAATAATTCGCTTGCGCGTAGGAGGAAACCGGAGGACCCGGAGAAAACCCATGAGGTTGGGCAGGCTACCCTACTCCTTGTCACGTACAACCGGGGAATCGAAACCACGGCAGTTGACTCAATGACAGACCTTATGATACAGCGCGCACATGCTAACCATTCGGCCACCCTCCCCCCCTCATATTCCATCATAACAATTTAGTTATATATAAGTTATATATATCTATTAGGATGAAATAATCTATATTTAAATAAATTTTACATTAGTGCCATGATCTTTTGGCCTTACAACATCTTCAGGGCTAATACAACGTTTAGTTTCACCTCGCTTAGTTACACAATAGTTCATTCGTAGATTCAGCTGTTGGTCGCTTTTGCCAATATAATATTCCCCACATCCCAAGCAAGCTAACAAATAAATCACATGTTTGGTTTTACAGTTCATGTTTTGTGTGTATATATATATACATAGTAATTATCTTAGCAGTTATTTTAATTACATAATATATTTACAAGTAAAAGGAATAAAAACAATATAAATTTTTACAAGCTATACTAACTCCTGAAACACTTTATGGAACTGTTTGTTACAATATTTTAGCACTTAAAAGAGGCCCTATGACTTCTGTCATCTTCACCAGGCAGTCATTCAATAATGCTTGTACAAGATTTATTACTTAAAGCAGGCCAGTACTTGTATTTTCAATAATCAAGCCAGTCTACGGTTAATCTGAATATATTTTTCAAATTATTTACATCCGCCTTCCCTTCTGGAAGTGATAATACCTCTTTATACTAATGTTTTCTGAAAGGTCAGAAATGAGATTTATTTTTCAGCTTTAATGAGGTACCAATTTCAGCATTTCTTTCATGGAGAAATCAATAGCATCTTTTATTTCTGTTAAAACAAAAAGGAATATTAATAAACAATTCACTGATTTGATTCTGTGCTTAAGTGCTTTAATAACATACAAATATTCATTTCCAACTTTAGAAACTGAAAATAATGCATTTCAGCACTGTCATAAAAGGAAGGAACTCTTTATGGTCCACAAAAAGGCTGCTGGTACATGTAGATGGCATACATTAAATTCTCTACTATCATTCATTATCAAGGTTGACAAACGTTTTTATCACCCAATAATACATTCTACAGTAGATATCGCTTGTGTGATATATTTCATATCTCCTTAGGAGATATCGCTTTACATGAATTTGATTGGTCAGTTGAAAAGGAACTACTTTTTTTTTTTTCAAAGAACAGTTCATTTCTTATTAAAAATAACTTTTTAAATTAAAAATGAACTATTGTTATTTAATTGACCTTGATGGAAACACTGGGTCAATATAAAGGACTTTGCAATGGTTGAATTGCTGTCAAAAAATGATGTATCACTACGCCGTAATGTTCAGTGAAAGTGAAATCTACAGCAAAGAATTATATTTATCTATTTGTGCATGTAAGAAGGGATTGGGTGATAAATAAAATCTCCTACTCGTCTTTTTTGATAGCAAAAAATATCAACACTCGTTGATAAAGTAAAAAAAACTCGGCAGAGCCTCGTTTTTTGTTACTTTATCAACTTGTGTTGATATTTTTTGATATCAAAAAAGACTGGTAGGAGATTCTCTATTTATATCATCAATCCTGTATCAAGCAAGCAGTCTCTTAATGGTCACATGGAGACAACAATACCTGTAATTTTAATGTGTCTAGACTTCAAACCTTATGCAGCTGTCAGTCATACATTGTACACTAGTTTGTTTAACATGTTTATTCATGTCTTTTTTGCCAATATTCTATCTGAATTTCTATGCATAAACATAAGCGCTCCAAATTAACCACGGCAAACAGCAAAACCATGGTAAAAGTCGACACAACCCCCGTCTGCCATGGTATAATTCAATTTTTTTTTGCCGTGATAGGTCTTATGATCCTAATAATGACTAATGTACCGTTTATAGAATAGTACCTGGAGGATGCCATCTGACCATGTAATAACGTCAATATATATTTTTTTTATCATTTTGTATATGAAATTCGGACAAATATATTGCAATTATTGAATACACTTTTAACCCATGTGCTGTAGGCCTATCCATGCTTTACCGTTACAGTGGTGTTATTTTCAACGATTATAAACTAAACTACACATAGGGTGCAGGATTGTTGCCTGGTTACTCTGGCTAATGCATGAACAATGTTACCATTCTCGTCATTTGTATTTTTAACTGTATCGTTTGTCACGTATTAAGGACCTGGACTGATTCACAATCTTTGTTTATAATTACTACGCCCTATGTAACGAAGCGTAAAAGTTCATCATATTTATTTTCTTGCTATTCTTTCATACCAAAATATCATAAAATAGATCTGTTTTAGTGTGGTAACAATAATATGCCAAACAAACAATAAATATCAAATTCATTTTATGAACTATTTGCGCGTCGATAACGGGAAACTGGATAGCATTGGCTATGAGTTACAATCCGACGACAGTAATTTTGTTAAACGTATTTACTGCAAAGTAAGCTGTGAAGTATATGGCAGTCCGGAATCCGTTACGAATGCCAGTGCCACACATGGGCCTGTACTGGCATATTTGCCACAGTAATAATAACTATAATAATGGTATATGTAATACCACTTAGATTAGTTTTGTTTATCATATGTATAATAAATAAATTTATCCATCTTGAAATATTCAGGAAATTATTGATTTTGATGTACAAAAAATGCTGTGGTGCCATAGCAGTTCCTTCTGCCATGGCATTTTTCATCTTTTTGTGCTGTACTAGAAAATTCTTAATTTCGAGGACTGAAACGCTGTATTATGCATTTCATAAATACAGTGTAAAGTTTCACAAATTATATAGTTAATAAAATGGTCAAGAACCTTATTATAAGGTGATCTCAGATGAGTGCCATATTTAATAACCAATAACCGACGCTTATGAAAAATACAATTATTATCACATATTATTGAATATCACTGTACCTGATGAAGAAGACAAGATTGGATAATATTCTTCCATTTTATTAAGTATCTTATCAAGTTCCTCTTGGGTCATCACTGCTAGTTCTAGTTCTTTTTGTGCATTAGCATTTGCTAATTTTATCTGTAAAATATGTATATAAGTTTAAACTACATTTATACATTGGCCAGCTGAATGTTAATATTCATACTTTATGATTACAGGAGAAATTTACGCTATTTTTGTATGCAAGACTCTTAAAATTTTTGATTCTGGTTCCAAGCAACCATCTCAACCTATTTTAATACAGTTTTAGGGGGAACTGGCAAACTAGTTATCACCTTGTGCCTGGATAAACCTGTCTTCAGCAGAGATGTGTGCATTGACAACTCCCTGGTAACCAGCTATACTGTCGTGATTTTTGTATTCCAGTGAGTAATAATATTATGACTATGGTGTATATAGATCAAAAACCGACCTGATCGACCCATGTGTCCATAGGAATCAAAGACACCATTCATTATGTATGAAACATTAAAAGTTACACTATATAAGAAAATTAAGTAATTCTTACAGCTAGAATACTTTCTTTTAATTCCTTGATTTGTAATTCAATATTTTCATTTTCTGGTGCTACTGGTTTTAGCTGAATTTCATCTTCTGGTAATACGGCATGTGAGGGTACATTCATCACATTGTTAAATGCATACACCTGAACGCAAAATTAAGAGGTTTTTAAAAATTACATTCATTACTAACAGAAAACTTGACTGATTAATTAACAGAACTCTGGATGGTGGAGTAAAATGCAACAACAAATAATTGTCATCTAGCAAAGCAGCAAAAATTAACTGGCAATCAGGTTTTTTATTGGACCTTTAATAATCCCAAGACAGTACACAGTGATAATTTTGGTAATAGAGGCTACTACAGGTACATAAAGGATATTACAATTAGCTTCTGTCTAAAATTTGAGATAAATCAGCCAATCCAATGATGGGATGCAGCAGTTTTAAGTTCAAATTTATAAGTCATGCATGTTTTTCAAATGAAAGTACTGTTAAGGTTTTTGATTCTAAAAAAATTTGGACCAGATGTCATTCAAAGTTATTTGTGAAATTTTTATGTTTAATATATATAAATAACATATTAATAAACCTCAAATTTATCGAATGTGGTATCAAATTCTTCCATAACTTTTTGCTGAATATTCATAACTCCATCATTTAAATCATCATTTGACATTACATCACCATGCTGAAATATAATTAATTAATCATTACATTACAGTGATCAAAATATTATAAAAGTATACTACTGATAATATGATTAATCTAAATGGTGAAAAAAGATTTACTCTTCTCTGTCCGAATTCAAGGATCACAGAGAATGGCAGTGATGATAGGTGTCCAACTTGTAAAGGATAATTCTATAAACTAAGCTACTCCAGTTAAAGCTGGTGGGATGTTTGATCTTCAATTTATTATAGCTTCATGTAGGTGTCAAATTCTTGTGTCTTTCCATAAGACACTTTTTATCCCTGTATTGTACTGACCCTGACAATAACCTCTAGTAATTATGATAGTATTGGATAACTTTAATAATTCTGTATACAAAACAGTATATTCTATCCCAAAACCTGACGTACCGGTAATAATATGCAAATCATTATCATTATTACTAAAGACATTTGAATTGAAATTTATTGTAATGCCATGCTGCATGATGTGTATTAAACTACATTAAGAATTAACTTACACGTGAAATTAAATAGTTTTTCATGGCCTCCAATCCATCCACTAGATACTGGTTCATGGCATTATAAACTAAAAATAATTACAACATTATCACAAATTTAATAGAACTATTATGTGTCCATATCGAAACCTTTAAAGGAGTCACTACAGATATTTCTTAAAATAGCTGTATGACACTTATTGTGCCATATTAAAACTTTTTTCAAGGTATTTACCAGACCGGTACACGTACAATGTCTGGGTCATTATTGTTAAAATTATAATACTATGTATATATATGAGAGAAATCATTTAATTGGAGATGTGCTTTAAGGAAACTATTATTAAAGGATAATTTTTCTGTAGTGTTTTGTGTGACATGACAAGAAGTACTGCAATTTGGTGCAACAGAATTATCAGTGAAATGAAATTCGATCGTTTGTCTGTTACCGCTCGTTACTTCAGTCAGTTATATAGAAGGACAACTCATTGTTTGTCATGTTTATCGTCACTTCCCGTTTCTTCACGTGCTTGTTACACAACTCCCGTAGCAATGATCTCTGTGTTAAAATTATATTTGGGATGTATTTAACGAGCTCTATCACATATTTTATAATGACTGACACCAATATTGTCCTTTAAACACAACTAACATGTTTCAGCTGTCAGGGTTGGTTGAGATATTTTCTCATGCAGTTGGCGCATGTGTTCTAGCCACAAATCCCCATTTTCACTCAACTGTCACCATTTTTGGGTTTAATAGAATTCAATTCTGGAACATTCAATCGAGCATCCCCAAAGACTACATTGGATATACAAGGGGGATAATTTTGCCTAGACAGTAGGAGGCAGACCACCATTAATTTCCCCATTGACTTCAATGTTAATTCTGGCCTCTTTGCCCACCTCCAACTTTTCCCCAAATTTTCGTTGGGCTGAATGCTTTTCACTACAGACAGAGGAACAAATGGTCATGTCTTTGCACTAAAATTTGTATGAGGTTGACCACCAAAATTTTGAGATACACAAACTTGAAGAAGCATACTAAAAACATGTAACTAGTTGCCGTACATATCGCCGTAGCTAACCTGATAACCCTCTTATCCTTCTGCCTCAATATCATGAATATTTACCAAAACCTGGCAGAAAATGTTAATTCAAACCCTCTTCGTCCATTCTAGACCAAAAAATCAACACAAATGGGCATGCAAAAGGGGAGAAAAGAGAGAGAGAGAGAATTGCTATAAATAGACGAACTACAATTCGTGGGTACCGAGATGATGAAATTTAATGGTGGTCTGCCTCCTATATGGTTTTATAAGTTCATATATCATCAAAATTCTTTTCTTTATAGCTTCACATTTATTTTTGCAAAATTATTATAATACAGAATCAGAAAAAAATAATTACTGCAGAAATGGTGACCCTTTAAAGTTATGTAGTGTTTTGTATACCGGATTGCAGCTCAGGTCCATGGGCCTTTTGTTCTAGAATTGAAGATTCTTTCTTAATTTTGTCGAAATGTGAGTTCTGCGAAAAGATTTAAAGAGTTTCAGACAAGTCACATCAAAAATATTCAAAATATTGGAATATTTTTCAAAAATTGACTTTCTTTTACCTTTTTCTACAAAATGGTCCATTTTTGACACTTTGTATGGCTCAAAATGCTAATATTTCCCTATTTCTGGGAAAGTCTGAGATGAAAAGCATTTATTTCTAGAAACCTTGGCCGGTATACAGAAAGACAAGCTGCAAATTTGTTGCATTGAAGGTAACTGTAAGGAACTATAGTGAAACCTGTAAGCCCACCCTCTAAAAATGTTGGTGTGGTAACAAATCCCACTTGTGTCCACATAAGTAATACTGTTGATGGAATATGGCTAAAAGCCATGTTTTTCTATCCCTGGCTTATATACATACATACAAACACAGTTTGTTATACGAAGTATGAATTATTTATTAAAATATGGATTGATAAATGTAAAATAAATGCTGTATTTAGGTGACAACCAGCCACTCTAATAAAAGGGTCGCAAAGCACTATTTTTTTTTTAAAAAATGGGAATATTTCAGTTTTTAAAATACTTTAACAGTCAGAGGTATCCTTAAAATTACATAGTGTAAATATTATGTGGAAGCAAGTTGTTTTAATCTTTACATCAATGTCCTGACAAAATGAGATGGAAAAAGGGAGTTCTGACATAATTCAAAGCATAAAAGGGGTATGAAAAGGCTATTAATTAATATTTTATTGCCCTGTAAGTGCCACATTTTCAAAGATCACCACAAATAATAGATTTACATTCAAAATGTAAAACATTAAGCTGCAAAAAACACATCTACAACATATCCATTTTGGGGTGTGGACTCATTTGGAAGAAATGTCATAGGATTACATGTTTGACCATAAACAAAAAGTCTTAGAAATCCTTGAAATCTTATATGTAACTATTTGTTTGTGTCAAATAAAATGCTCGGTTACAATTCAAGCACAAAATCAGATTACTGCTAATTTGGAGTCAACAAATGTTCAATTGAATATCCAAATATCATCTTCAAGAAAAGGGGTGGGGTGGGGAGGGTGAGCCAGTCTAAATGAAATTAAGACAGATAAATTTCCCTGCAAACACATAGATTTTACTTTCTCGAGAAGGGAAATGCAACAATTTCAGGTTTTGAAAGATTAAAATTGTGTTAAGCCTGAGGAAAACAGCAGCAAAATGCAGTTCACTCATGTTTTGAAAATTCTAACACACCTAAGCAGAACATAATTAGACTAAATTTCTTAATTTTTAAATTTTTGACAAACACATGAATACTTTTTCAATATCTGACAAACACATGGATCCTTGCCAAGTTATTTAACAATGAAAATAAAGACATGCAAGACATTTTGGTTCATTTTACAACAGATGAATAATTAAAATTTTGACAGCAATATTGGGGGTAATCTGAAGAATTTCAGACAATTTATCATGATTTTTAGGCAAAATTGAGTGAAATTATGATACTTTCTTCCCGTCTAACAATTATAATGCAGAAAAAGTAAAAAATAATACATTAAAATACATTCCACTAATTTTGAAAAGTAAATAAACACTGAAAATCACAAAATTTTGACTAAAATCAAAATTTCCCCTCCCAAATTTGTCAAATATTTTTGAAATTTTACCATTTCACATTTTTTACCATCAAAATGCCATATATCACATTTTCTGACAATTTGGAGATCATATCATCAAATTTAGGCCTTTCATCCACTGTCAGGTTGTTTTCATATAGGAGGCAGACCACCATTAATTTCCCCATTGACTTCAATGTTAATTCTGGCCTCTTTGCCCACCTCCAACTTTTCCCCAAATTTTCGTTGGGCTGAATGCTTTTCACTACAGACAGAGGAACAAATGGTCATGTCTTTGCACTAAAATTTGTATGAGGTTGACCACCAAAATTTTGAGATACACAAACTTGAAGAAGCATACTAAAAACATGTAACTAGTTGCCGTACATATCGCCGTAGCTAACCTGATAACCCTCTTATCCTTCTGCCTCAAAATCATGAATATTTACCAAAACCTGGCAGAAAATGTTAATTCAAACCCTCTTCGTCCATTCTAGACCAAAAAATCAACACAAATGGGCATGCAAAAGGGGAGAAAAGAGAGAGAGAGAGAATTGCTATAAATAGACGAACTACAATTCGTGGGTACCGAGATGATGAAATTTAATGGTGGTCTGCCTCCAGTAGTGGTTGCTCCTACTCTTCTTTAAATTTAAACTGCCAAGGGATCTTTTTCTTTTTTTACATGCATTACAAACATGTGCAAGGGACATTCATGTTTTAAAGATCTTTTCAAATTTTGCATGGTTTGGTCACTAAAATCTCTGGAAGTGGGAAAATTTCTTTAATATTTAATAAATACACACACAGTACAAATGTACCTGTGTGTATTCTTATAGCATGCAAAATTAGTGACAGAGATATGTTTCTTACTTCCATTACAAAAAGATTTTGGTGTAAATCCAAGTAGTTGTGTATCATAGGTATCATCTGAGGATTGTGCATTAGACTTTACGGTAACATTTTCTGCTATACCAGAACTAAATATATCAGCACATGTAGATGAAATTGTGGCTCCATCTTCTGCCATCTTTCATCTGCTAAAAAAACAAAATACATCTAGGAAACAGTCGAATTATATTTCTAACTATGTACAATCTGATTGAAACACAGATCCTATTTCGTTTTGTTTTGTATAGCTCAAAATTTTGTTTTACTCTAGTACTACACTAGGATCTGGAAAAGTTGTTACATAACCTGCATTTTGGTTGATGTGAGGGATTAGCCAATGAAACCCTCTGTTACAGCAAGTTCTTGGTGTGCATTGCACGGAACTGTTACCCAACTAGAAACAGCAACATTGACATTGATTGGTTAATCAATGCCTGACATCATAGGATCAAAATCCACTCGGATGACCCCTAACGTGACCTTCCACTATAACCGGTCAGATCTTCATGTACTAGAGGCCATGGAAAGTATAAAAAAACTAAACAAAATATATCTGTATTTTAATCAGATTGAACTATGTACATGTACATGTAAGACTAGCAATAAGAAATTGGGATTCAAAAAGTAAGTGCAGGAGAACCGCACTACACACAAAACAAAACCTATAAGACAAAAATAATAATATTATATACCTATTCAATGATTCAATGGCCTCGGCTATTAATTTTGCGGAGGCAAATGTAAAATACATCGGACGGAAACAAAATAACGGACTACAGGTGTATGTTTGTAAACGCCCAACTCATTACTGCCACTGCCACTGGGTCCGAGAGCAGTAGCTTATTCATACACAAAATCTGAATTGTCGTGAAAGAGCCAAACACCGTTACAATAGACAAGCCTTACTGAGACACCCTTCTATGAAATGATCTGTCCCGATAAGTGACGTAATTAGCTTCCATTTTTGTATTTTTCGATGTCCAATTTTTTTAGTTCAATTTTACAAGAGAGAACTTTTTTATTCTCAGTGATATTAAGTTGTATAATGGATTTTATTTAACCGGAGGTAATTTCAAAAACACAGGTAAGTTTATAATAACCAAAGTCAAGTAGTTTATTCATAATCAGAGAAATCCATTTAAAATTTACGATGATGGTTCAGACAGTCACAGTGTAGCTGCTTAAAATAATTTTAAAAAAGTTGTTGTTTTTGTTGTAAATCGAAATCTCCCATTTATTTATTTGAGAGGTAAAGTTAAGCAGAGTTTATTTTACATTTTATTTATTGACCTACCAACTGTATGAAAGGGCCACCAGCTTTTTTAGGGTTACCGCTTTTTTCAGATCTATGGAGTAAAATAAAATGGAAATAATAAAAGTGAAGAAACACTTCTCAAGTTTTCCGCCATATGACCAAAATATTATGAAGTCTCAAATACATTAAAAATTTGAATTTTTGCTTGGATAGAAGGCGGTTAAGAATATATTAATCTGGCATACAGCACTTGTAATAATTATTATATTGCTTTCATGTATTTCATACTCACGATAAAATCAATGATAACGGTAAAATATGAACAGAAAGGCTATTTTAAAATCTGTTTTGAGAGTATGAATACAATACATGATTGTCCAGTCTCTTTCTTATTACGGACCACTTGATGATGTTGACTACCAGGTGGATAGGAAGGCGCAGGGCTGATATGTGAGTGTAATGAAACCTACGTTCAAAGCTGAACTAGTGTGGAGTTATTTATTTACAAAATACGTTGCCATTATTAGTAACTGTAGGACGACTACTCCCCGGCCACATGGCTACATTAACATAATCAATTACAACATCTTATTAATGTAATGCTGAAGCCTGTTTGAACTCATTTTGTAAATTTCACACTAAAATTGTTTAATTTTTATAATGAATTGTTTAATTAATAATAATAATATGATGACTCATATAATATTCACATCTCTTGAACGACAGTCCTGATATACTGTTGTGACAGTTGTCAGAATCCATATATTATCACTATCAGATCAGTTTCTGTGGAAATACTGCAAAACTCAAATGTTTAATTTGTAGCACTACTGTTGTTATAGTGTGTAGGCCTACTCTATATCCCCTGGCCTATAGTTAGTATAGTATATTAATAAAAGAACCTGTTACGGTCAATATTTTGAAAAAAATATATATATTTTATGACAGTCAAAATTGTTTTTAAAGTTACAAATTGATCAAAGATTACATGTAGGCTACAAAGCTACTATCAATGATAACTTGATATCCTGTCAGTTGTGTAGGCCTACTGTGGCCTACCATATTGTTGCAATGATTTATGTATAATGTACATGTTGGCCTATTGTTATTTTGTTTCAGATGCATAAAGAAATAAAAAAGTCAGTGAAGTGTTTATGAAAAAGCCCAAAGTTATACCAGTTTAGAATGGGCAGCAAGCTTGGTGTGGCTATTGATCCCCAGTAACAAGTACTATTATTAAAGTTACCTGTATTTATTTCGTCTTTACAGTAGTCCGTCTGCTTCCAATAGATGGACCAGCCGCCATGTTACCAGGTGCTAGAGAAATAACTCGAAGGAGACAAAACCCAAGCATGGCAACGTCGGCTAAAGAAATACAAAGAGTCGTCAATGACTCACAATTACGATATAAACAGCTACCGACCCGAGCTAAATTTATGTTGGTCTTTTCTCTTTTATTCTCACTATATTTATATTGGTCAATATACAAAATAGTTTTCACTAATGATCTTCAAAGCGAGAGTTTTTTAGAAACAGATAAATGTCCAGCATGTTATGGAATGAGCGCTTGTGGTTTTCTGTTGACTGATCAAGTCAAATTGACAGGGTGGTCAAAATTGCGTTTTTTGGACGTTGTTAATGTAAAAAATGTTCATTTTGGGAAGCATGTGTATAAAGAACATAATGTGGTTCTGAAAAAACTTGCTCTGGACAAGGAACTTGTGGAAGTTGACAATGAAGTATGTAAAGATGCTAATAGAGAACCTGGATGTGACATCGCAAGAGTTATATATAAAGGCTCTACTCCATATAGTCTTAAAGACAAACCGATTCTACCAAAACATTTAAGCTCATTAACTGTTTCAATGTTTACTTGTGCGTCATATCGTTTATTAGATAGAATGTGGTCATATTATAAAGAAAGACTGAATCAGGATGATATAATGTACAGAGATAAAGTACAGTTATGGTATCTTTCTAAAGTAAATACAGAACCCTTAGTCATGCAGGTAAATATAGTATAATACTCTAAAGCAGGACATAATTTCCTGTGTATATTTTTTGTTAAAGGGTTGTATTATTTTCAATATGCAATGAAAAACCTTGATCTAAGGTACTGATTTACAATGTAGGCTGTAATGTTGAACACAATTCCTTCTTTTTGTATTTATTTTAAGTTTTCCAGGATATCTTGTAATTTAATACTAATTCAAATCAATTGATCATAATGATAGTGATCCTAAAATGCACCCAAAGATGGTCGATGGGACAAGGTTTTTATGTTGAACAAATTGAACATTTTTGAGTCTTTACTGAGTTAACAGTAAGTTCAATTTGAAACATTTACATTATTTTACAACTTCTTATTTTATGTTAATGTAAATATTTTTTTTCTTTTATTCCAGACATTTCCTGCTCGTGAGGGTTGGCCATTTCCTGAATATTATGGTGCTTGCGGTCGTTTCATTGTATCTGAACACGGTGGAAGACCTCTTCAAGAATTCTATCATGCATCTTTTGAGAAAAGGGTATAAGATTACATCAAAACTTATTTTCATATAATCAGGCATGTTCACAATTCCCAAACTTATAGCTATGTTATCTACAGACACGTGAGCAGTAGCGTCCAATCAGAGGTTGTGACATCGCGACCTCCACGGAAACCTTGACATTGAATGAACTTTGAACTTTGCAACTCGATTATCACAGGTAGACATTTTAGCTTGAAAGCGTGAGACTTGGTATTCCCGACGGTCGAGCAATTTGATAGGCACACAAGTTGGGCTTGTACCCAATCGAAATTAGTGCCGCAATATACAGGGTATTACGTAAAGGCCTTGATAAAATGTACGTAGTTAAAGCAAGATCAAGCCTTCTATTGGAGATGATTATCAGGAGGCAGTTGGCTTTAACGTCCACTTCCACAGCAAATTTTCGAGTCCGGATAAAACATGACTAAAATGCCGAAGGGATGACTTAAACTTACCTTGGTCCTTGAGTAATTTTTGATTTGATTTGACTATTGTGTTAGATTGTAGCATGTACATTATTACGCTCTTTATTGCTCATAATGCATTCATCCATGCTTAGATACAGATGGCAGTAGTAGGACAAAAAAGATCTATTTGATAAGGCCAACTCTAACCCTAACCTTGGACTTAGCCCCAGTGCACAATATTGCCAACAATCACATCTCAGCGACCTTGACGGAAATTGAGCTGGCCTTAACAAATAGATTTAACCAACAAAAAAAAAAAAACATGCATGGAATCTCCAGTGAATCGGTGATATTCATGAACTACAAGATACAATATATTACTGTAAACATAATATAAGGCTTGATATGTTTTAATTATGTGAATATATGCTACTTTAGAATATTTTTGAATATGATATTAATATACCAGATGATATATTATTGTTACTGTAAACACTTGAGGGTTCTTATTATTATCACGATTTAAAGACTTGATATGGCTAGATTTCTTTTTTCATCCTTAAACATAAAATTTATAAAAGTTCATTAAAGGGGTATCAGGTATTATTAGATAATAAAGTTGACAGTTCTCACTATAATAATTAAAAAAATAGATAATGAAAACAAAATATGCTAATAATTTCTGTCAAATTTTTTCACTCTGAACCGAGATATTACCTATTCAATTATCGGCTAGTCTCGGTCGTCATTATTAACATTGGTATGCTAATAAACCAAGTCACGATTATCCATTTTTGCGTTAAATTATCCATCACAAAATGTATTCAAATCCTGTAAATATCGCAGACTAACGAGTGCATCGTGAGTTGATTATGGTCTGGATAAGTTATTTAATGTCTAATTAATAATTTAGATAACATTTTAGACCTAAAGAAAGACCTGGAATAGGCAGAGATTTAGCTCTTGTATAATGCATGTTTAAATATTTATTTCAGGTAGATATTGCCTATCAAATAATGAAAATGGCTTTAAAGATGACAGAAAATAGAGACGATTTTATATTATATTGGACAGATATACAGTATGAAAACTTTGCTGTAGATGCTGGTGGAAAAGTTCGAATTATTGATGCTGAAAATATAATTGTAGTAGATAAAATGGCTGTTGAAGCAAGTAAGTGACACTAGATTGTTACTGTTTCAAGAACATAAAAGCAGATTAGATTAGAATGTTTAGACCCAGGTCCATAAAGGTATTTTTTCCCAAATAAGTATTGCCTCCAGCTCTCATTTTTTGAAACGAATGTCCGTCGTTTGAATCCTAAGCAGAGAAATATCTTCAGCCTTATTTCCATTCCACTCATGCAGCGTCAACGGCTACTCTCCTGTACTAGAAAATTCTCTCCATCCCATTGTCCACCATGGAAATACAAAAAATAGTTTTGTTGAATATAAGACTTAGGCCTGTTACCATATACACATTTTCGTGGCATTTCTGCAAGCATTTTTGCTGGCGAAAAAGTAGGTCTAATGCAAATGTAATGGAACCGTTTGCATATAAAACGTGCATACATGGAATACCGGCCTATATGTGTATGATGTATGAATCATGTTTGTGTTAATGCTGGCACATATAAGAAACCAGACAAACTTGATCGGGGGGTGATGACTTGTAGTAAATAAGACAACATAGTTTTGTTTTATCACCGACTGTTATCAATTAATTGGCCAAAGATTAATTATTTAGTTGACATTGATTGTTATATATTAGTTCTGCTCATTTCATATATCCATTGCCATATTATAATATTTATATTTCAGCAAAACCTCGTGGATGGAATGATTTATATGAAAGTGATTTTGATGAATGTAATGGAGAAAACTGTTTAACATTTAGTACCAATAATCTGTGTAGACATGTCAACTCAGATCATAATTACTATGCGGCGTGTCGAAATCTGTTGTCACAGTACGGCAGCGAACCTGGCATGCCGGGAGGATTATTACATGATATGCCAGATTATGCCAAGAATGATTGGGAATTAGATGGCATGCTCAATGAATGTGCTCGTCCTTCAAAACCAAAAGGACGAATTATAATTAAAGAAAGACTTATAGAAGCATTGGATCAGTTGAGGAAAATGAAACCAGCAAAAGATATAAATGTGAATATTTTGGATGCTCTTAAAACTAAAGACGATTCAAAAACTAATGAATAATATACCACAGCCTTAACTTGCTTTTCATGATAATCAAGGTTTTCTGGTTTTTGTGATCAGTTTGATACAGGTAATTTTAGCAGTTTAATGATAATCACAGTCGTATCCTTTCCCATCTTGTTTATAACCCAGACCATCTTGTTCAAAACCCAGATTATAAAGTCCATATCCGAGTCCTTCTTGGTCATATCACGCTCATTCCCTTCTCATAACCCAGTCCTTGTTCATATCTCGACCCACTTTGCTTGAATTACCACAAATATATCTGTCCTAACTCGTATCCAAGGCGTTCTCATTTCCTCGACCTCGTCCATGTTTCACTGATGTTTTAACCAATTTTGCAGTGCTTTCTTTCTCATATACCCACCATTCTCTCTCATACATGTATACCTGGCTTTCTGGCTTATGTCACTTATTCTACGATGATTATACATTCTCTTGATTTTAAACTATAATGGCATCTTAATATCAGACAAGAAGGTCAAATTCAACGACAGTTGCCTGAGTTGGTATGGTAGATCCTTGTCCATGCTTAAGACAGGTTATACCAGTCTTTTCAGCTGTAAGTGTTATTGGTAAGATACAGAGTTCATGAAAAATCTACCAAGAAAACTGGAGGAGAACCTTCAGGATTATTAAAACCCTTCCTTCACTTGTCAGTCGTAGTGCTTACTGGCCAAATAATTTGGAAATCAAGAAAGAGTTGATGAAAGTCCATATGTCCAGGCAAAATGTCCTAGCCTCGCATTGCAGATGTAACTGTATAAATAAATATTACCATATGCATCTCTCAAAATGACCAAAGCATTATGTAGAAGAAACATTAACCACCATTCCATTCTATGTCTTAATGAAAGATATCAACATGATGTAACCCTGACTAATGCATATAACAGAAATATTTTATTAAGATAATTTGTTTGTTAATGATATTGTACATATTGTTAAGATAAATGTATATGTATATGCCAGATATTTTTTCAAGGCTTGCCTCAATTTGGGTATGAAAGTGTGTGTATGTTATACTGTGGTTGAACAAAATTTATTTAATATTGTTATTGTCTAATGTTACTATCAAAATTTGGTAGATATTTATCACAAAGTTTTACAATGTTATTTTTTTATTGTTCCCTTTCACATAAAGATTGTTTAAACATGTTGATCCCCTCAATAATGTCAAAATGTACCGGTAATAGCTATTTTAACCCTCTTTTATAAGGACTGTAGAACAATTTTTGCCTAGATTTTTGGCCCAAACATTGTATTTTGGATAAGAATTTTTTTTTTTTTGAAAAAAGTTATGGTAGTGGGGTTATGGTGAATGCAACTCAATACCTGTCCATATTCTTTCTAATGTAGTTCTCAATGTAGATGAATGACTGTTAAAAGTGTGAATGATTGGCTCATTTAGCAATTAAAATTAGATCTTAATGTCATTTCTGTTTGTATAATTTATAAAGTTGAAGGTTCACGGCAGAATTAAAACAGAAATGAAAGTAAGGTAATATTTAATAGACTGTTCTATGTACATCGATTTTTGTTATGTTGGGGTCATTCCAATATCTTGACTCCATTTTTGTAATAAACCTAATATTCTATTATTTAATGAAGTTGTTTTACTTTAGTTTCACATCTATGTATATTTCTCTAATATATATACAGCCAGTTTATGAATTGATGTATATCGTAAATACATTTTCATGTGGACATATTATGCCCTCTTTGTTTGTGGACACTCTACAGGTCACAATTTTTATCTGATTTTGACGAAATTGAAATATAGGTCTTTCTCCCAAAGATATCGGTTCCTCTCGATATTGGCATGTATCAGGTCATAACTTCATGAATCATGGCCCCTGATTGTACGAAAAATCATTTGTTTAGCTTGTGGACACTCTAGAGGTCACAATTTTTATCTGATTTTGATGAAAATTAAAATGCATGTTTATAACCCAAAGATCTAGGTTCATTTCGATATTCGCTCACATCGGACCGTAACTTCCTGAATTATGGCCCCAGATTGTACGAAAAACCGCGTTTTTAGCTTGTGGTCCCTCTAGAGGTCACAATTATTATCCGATTTAAAAAAAAAGTACGATTATATCACCACTACACCGTAATTCCAGCTGAGTTCAAATTTCGTGACAATCGGACCGAAACTGCCGGACTAAATGGCCGCCCCTCATACTCAAATAGTGTAAAGAATTTGGTATATGAAGGTTGTGGACCCTCCAGATGTCAGAATTTTGATGAAACTTGAAATTTATGTTTATAACCCAAAGATCTTGGCTCCTGTCATTATTCGCGCATATCAGATTGTGACTTTCTGAATTATGGCCTTTGTTTGTACAAAAAATAGCGTTTTTAGCTTGTGGTCCCTCTAGAGGTCACAATTTTTATCCGATTTTAAAAACCGGTTAAATATATCACGGTTATACCATAATGATGGTTGAATTCGAATTTCGTAAAATCGGATCGAAACTGCCTGACAAAATGTCCGCTTTTTGTACGCAAATAGTGTCAAAGTATGTATTACCAAGGTGGTGAACCCTCTAGAGATCACAATTTTTATCTTATTTTGTTGAAACTTAAAATATGTTTATATCCCGAAGATCTAGGTTCCTGTAGATATTCATGCATATCGGACCGTAACCTTCTGGATTATGGCCCCTGATTGTACAAAAAATATCTTCTTTTATTTAGCTTGTTCTCTTGTCCATTTCTTGGAAAATGTGTGCGTATCTTGCATAACCACCGCTTTCTATGTAACTTTATAAAATGAAATGGGGTTTAATGTCCTACTGTTCTCCTCGAACTGGGCTAATGAAGATGGGCATACGCCATACAGTGTGCTATGAGGGAAACTTTGCCTACACAGCGGCACTACAGCCTACTCTTAAATCAAATTCCAACTGTCAAGGGATCTTTTATGTGCACGCCAATGTGTACTCGGGACCTCGGTTTTTCGTAACATCCGAACGACTAGACAGCTGTCCCTGTCAAGCCCTCCATCCTGCATCACTGACAAGGGTTAACCACGCTGGAAAATCTGGATGAACTTCCTCGGCCAATGCTGGCTAGTGAGTCAGCGTCTTACCCACTTAGCCGCTGTAACTTTATAGGTTATGATTATGAAAATCAAATATAAAAAACTGGCCAGTATCATTTTGATGCAGTCTATGTATTTATATTGCCTCTCTCTGTCCACCATTTGGGGTTGGGTCATACATACAAATACATGTACTGCAAATTCATATAGCAAAAAAAAGCTATTGCATATATAATTACTTCTATAGTTGTGGCCCTTGATCACATATCAATGAAGCATGGGATTTGTCTTAGTGCTTGCAAACAAATCTAATCTGGGATTTTTCTCAGGTGACAAGCCCCTTTGCTGTGTTACTGTTTGGGATGGAATATACTTGACTTTTATATTTTATGAAAATTTAGTCTATTTAATTCCAATCTAATTAATACTACTTGCTTATCTGTTTCTGTCCTGTTTCAACTCATCTTAAGTTGTCAAATTTTATACTACTCTATATGGGCAATGTTAACATAAAATTCGAAAAAAAAGAAGGGGCAATAACTTTTATAAATCCAACTGCTTGACTGAATTTACATGTGTATTTCATATGACTAGCAGAACAATCCCTCCAAATTTGAAAACGAAAACTATTACTTGTAGCTTAATATGCCTACTAGGGTTCATCCTTATTATTACTAGTGGAACAATCCTAACTAGTTAAACCTCTCCAAAGTTTTGACATGTAGATAGATGGACATGAAATGTAGATAAAAAAAATAACAGTCAGTTGCCCCATAATCTTTTATATAAATAAAATATATATACAATAGATATAAGAAATGGAATATAGGTGCATCATATTTCCGTAGATATAAATTAAGTACACGCCTTTAAGTATATATTAGCCGTACAGTATAGTCCATGGATTTTTAACTGAAAACTCACACCAGTCCAGTAGCCTGCCGAGTTTTGGTGATGTGAGAATGGAATTTATTTTAAATATTATGTCAAAGCAGATGAAATAATGGTTCCAATCAGAGACCATCTATAATCAGCAGTAAATATTCGCTTGGCCCTACTATCACTGAGAGGGGTGACATGGGGTGAGTTAAGTAACTTTTTTTCTTCTGCAAATTCTATTCTAAAACAGCTTTTTAAATTATTAAGAAAAAAATCTGAAATCATGGATCTTCTCTTCGACGTATATTGGTAGAAATTTCTGGTTATATAAAAGTACATTTCTTTGGAATCTATCGTGATAGTTTGGCCCGATCGTGCCTATTATTTTACGTCTTGAGAATTGTTTTCCGAACTAATTATAGTATTCCCGTCTTCTTATATACATATCGTTCACTATTTTTAAAAAAAAAATTTAAAATTAAGATTGGAAATTGTCTTACTGTTTATCTTCGGTAATATCAATACTGAAGACTACACCCTTTACGATTGTTCAAATTAAACATTAAGTATTCAAGATCGATCCGTAGAAACTGATTTCTCATATTAATCTTAAAGGGCGTTCTCTATTGCAAGCTTAGATTTGTTTAAAACCAATGGCGTATTGAGAATAAAGTCATTAAAGATCTCCGGCCTGTCTGCCACTGTGACAAATTCTGGCCCTTCCTCTGGAATCTCGCCCATCGTTCCTAGCTGTCACCACGTCTCTTAATGAAAATTTATCCAGGTCATATTTCATCCAAGATTTGAGTAAAATATTTATGGCTGATTCGTCGTAACGGTGACAGTTAGCGTAATATCTTGAGTTAGGTTTTAGATGAGTATCACATTCCCGCTTAGAACCCGCTGGAGCCACGCACCATTCTTCCACAGCACAAGCTAATAACCACTTCATCAAACGTTGGCGTATTGTACTAGTATTGTGCACAATTATCATTGTAATCTCTATGTGAGGAACTCGCATTAACTTTCGTACGTCCGAACTTAAGTAATAGTACATATCGGGATGAGTAACAACGTATGTGGAATATTTTTGACGTTGTCCAGCTATAACGACGCCACGCTTTCGAGAATGATCAATATAAGCATTGATTTTTCTTTTGTGTATCACTAAATGTGGCTCAATCCAGATCATATGACTCAATCCTGCCAAAGCCATCTACAAATATACAAATTCGACAATAAATTAATTTTTTATAAAAAGGTGCAGGAAACAAGTACACACCAACAATGGGAGAAAATCAATGAAAATTAAAATATGCGGTGTAACCCGTTTTTCCCAAGGAAATCCAGGAAAATGATCCATCCACATTTTCAGATACAATGAATGAATGAATGATGAAATGGGGTTTGACGTCCTACTGTTCTGTTCCAACTGGGTGAATGAAGACGGGCATACGTCATACAATGTGCTATGAGGGAAATTTTGCCCGGACAGCGACGCTACGGCCTACTCTTATATCGAATTCCAACTGTCGGTGTTCTTTTAAGTGCATGCCAAGGTGTACACCCGGCCTCGGTTTTTCGTCCCATCCGAACGACTATACGTGAGGCACATCGGTCCTAAAACCCCTGATAAGGGGGGGGGGGCATGCCGGAAAATCCAGATGCATTAATTTCTCGGCCAATACCAAGAACGAACACGTGACCTCCAGTTTAGTGAGCCAGTATGTTACTGAGCCACCGTAGCTCGTCCCATCTGAACGACTAGACACTGTCCTTGCCAGTCCCTCCGTCCTGCTCCACTGACCAGGGGAAACTGCACCGAAACTAGAAACTTTCTCGGCCAACACCTGGAAGGAACCGAAGTCTACAAGTTAGCCAGCCAGCCCTGACTATGAGCCCCCGCGGCCGCTTTTTAAGTACGTACAGTTGTTTCAGAGGGCTGTGGATTGTAATTAAACGTATTTTTACCTGTAGGATAACTGGTCGCCACAATCCTCTCTCTAAATCTCTAATGTGCGGTGGCCATACTTCTATTAAACTTTGTCTAATTTCTACTTGACAGACTGAAGATAACTATAACAAAAGACCAGACGGTTATGGTAATAATTTTATGGCAGTCACATTAACAACGCAAGTACCGAAATATTGAGGGGTAAATCCAGCACCCCATTTCCTTAAATAATTTTATATCCTCAGTAAATGAAAAAAAATATATATATATTTACAATGAAAATGTGCTGTTAGATCCGAATGTCAGTTCCATTCGATTTACTTTTACTCATAAATGAGAATAGCTACATGAATACGGCTGAGGTGGGTGAAGATGGTTTAATTTTCGTAGGCATGAATCGTGATTCACTATCGGATTACATGAGAAACTGGTTAACTTTTTCTTTGTATTGACTTACTAAAAAATGTGGATTGGAATTGATTCAACATACAGAACCCTTTATAATCTGTTCACCATCACTGTTACGAAAAAAGTGGATTGGCAGATGCTCTAGCGACTTTCGTGAATCTATGACCAGAAAGACACTTCGGAAAATGTGAAAGTAGTGAAACAAACTCTTACCCATTCTCGTTGGTCTTTTGTCAGTCCTAGGTCAAATATAATGATATCAGCTGCGCCATAATGATACTGAATAGATACTATCAAGTTTACCACATCTTGAAATGTTTTACTCCATGCAGCACTGACGAAATACAACATGTCTAGATGCTCGTGCATGTTGGATTCGGCATCTTCATCAAATTCTTCATTTAGTTCTTCCATCTTCTCGAAAAACACTTTTCTGCGACGCTGTTTCTCTCTAGCAACTTCGGGACTATCATCACCTGAATCAAAACCTGGTCGACGATCTTTTGGACCATTACTCATCTTCACAGGCTTCTTGTTTTTACCGTTCTTCATTTGTTCCACAACATCATCGTCATCCTTGATATCATCTAATTCTTCATCAACTGTTTTTACTCTCTGTTTCTGTTTCAGTTTTTGTTTCTCTTTGGCGTCTTCCTCAATAAGTTTATTGAGTTCATCCACGTTATCAGCCATTTCGGCATGATCCTGCTTTTGTTTGTCTTTGAGTAGTTTTTCTTCTTTAGCTCTTTCCCTTTCCTTGGCTGCTATTTTGTGAACATCGTTATTAATTCCCGCGTCTTTGACCTCAAATTGATTTCCCCCAAAGTCGAAGTCATTATTATTTTCTTTCTGATTCTGTTTCTGATTCTGTTTCTGATTCTGATTAACGTCATCATTACCAATTTCATCACTAAAACCGTCGTAAAACTGCCCAGCTTTTCTATTCTGGAAAACATAATACGATAACTGTGAAAATCAGCATGTCTGACCATTCTTTACGCGCGCTATTATACGGGAAGCTTTACCAAGTTTAGAGTTTTAAATACCGATGGACTACCAGATTCTGATTTGTTTGTTGAATTGGATTTACAATACAAAATTATTTGTGTTGAACATGGCTTTCGAGCCAGTCAAATTATGTAGTCGGGGATGGACTGGGTCTCGGAGCGTCAGACATGGTCCAGAAAACAAAGTGTACAGGGGCTCGTCGGCCACAGTCGGAAAACTCTGTTCCGCCTATTTGGCAATACGGAATTAAATCCTTCTCGTCAAGAAGCAATAAAAGTAAACTAGTGAACGACTTTACAATTTTAGATCAATATTTGATATTTGAATAAAAACCACTACAATCTGTTACCAACGTACTTGTCATGCTGAAAAATAATTTAATTGCACAAAATAAGATATAATCTAGAAAATCGTATTTGAAACCTTAACATCTAATATTGAACATTGTAAATGACCTAATATTTCCGATCTGGAGAATCTAAGACTTTTTAATGACTGTGCCCTTACTGTATCCTTTATTTATAAGTAAATACTATTTTTGTCAACCATTTTCAGTTTCGTATCTATCCGAGGCGTATTTAGTGGGTGTGGGGTGGGGGCGGATCAATTATCCCCATCCTACCACATAATTATGACTGCCAAAATGTTGTTACATACCGGTACCGGTTACTAACCAAAATAATGCTTTTTATCGATGGGCTACGATATTTAACTCTTTATTTACAATTCAAGTCGATTATAAATGTTATGCCACCCACCCTCATTTCGAAAAACCTAAGATATTGATGAATACACCCTTCAAAAGGGTACATTCTTAGGCTGTTGCAAGCGGTCTAACGGTTTCAGGATAATACATGTAGTTGGTGACATAGTGACAGGTATATTTTTTAATCCCAAAGCTCACAGATTCAACAACAGAATGTCTAAACATTTTCCGAGCAGCACCATTTAAAATCAGCAACCTCCAGTTCTTTAATCTATATGCTGCGCCGAGGGAAAATGTAATAGTATGAATTCTTTTTGTAGAATTGAGATGGAAAACTAAAACTATGCCATACCTTTATTATTGTGTCAAATATCTGGAATGCAAAATATGCCACTGCAACCAGTGCCCCATATTGAAGCAATCTCTTGGCTGAAAGTTTTCTAGTTGTTTTACTTAAACTAATAGTATTCATAGTTAATTACTTAATTAATTTTTATATGCTTATTTATTAACACAAGGCACAATGATTCAATGTCATTTCTTTCTCCTGAGACGCAATAGCTCTCTGTTGAAATTATTCAAATATTTTTAATAATCACGTCGAGAAGAACTGTAATCCATTTATTTAATGGATAAATAAAAACTGTTTTCTTTATGATAACAATTCCAAAATAACAATTCCAAAATAACACAATATTAGATCAGCGATATTTTCAGAGTTGATTCAAACACATAGCCTGCTATCTTTTCGGTCATTTGAAGATCCCAGATATCCCAACTGAGAGTTAGTCCTGGAGTTGTTATTAAGTTTATCAGAATTCTTTCAAAACAGATGCCAATCCTTTAGTCTGACGTTTTAATTTGACATCAGTGTATATTTCGTTTGTATGTTTCATGACGTAGTGTGCGACGTGTTTGTGTGTCGATGTGGATATATTGACCATGGAGGTAACATGTGGTTAAATGTTTAAGGTATCCCATGAGTATGCTTGAAATTGGCTGCCAGAATTTTAAAAATCGATTGTCAGAAGTAATAACTCAAAAGCAGAAAATCTAATATTGATGTGAAAAGAAACAAATTATTAAATAAATAAAAATAACAACAAACATGACTATTCTTTTTATGAATTTAAAAACAAAAGAGGGTAAGACAGTGACTCATAGTTCCTTATAAAATAAAAATTGTAGCTCATATTTTCACAAATAGGCCCCTATTTAATGACTATCAATTATTATAAAACATATTATTATAAAATTAGGTGGTTTCGATTCTCCGGTTGTTCATGATAAGGAGCCTGGTCGCCTGTCCAGCCAAGTGAGTTTTGTTCGGGTCCTCCGGTTTCCTCCCACTGCTAAAGACCCCTACGCGCAAGCGAATTATTGAAGTAAAATTGAACCATTATGTTAGTCCCGAAATGACCTAGTTTGTGTTGAGTGGATGTTAAACCCCATTTCTCCCATATGATCAAACCTATTAATATTATTAATTAAATAGGCCTATAACTACAACTCCCTGATCAAACAAACTTATAATTGATGTGTTTACGATTAATACGATTAAGAAAGTCCATGAATGAAATGATCGCTTTGTTAATTCCGTAAGCGTCGACACTGATTGTTATAGACGCAAAATCCGATAAAATCGATTGAGCATGCAGCATTCTGAACGTGGGCATGAAGGTGCTTGTCCTCGACCATTCATCAGAGTTATTTCCCTTTACGTTTCTATCCCAGTTAACCAAGGACGCTACTCCATGTTGGATGGTTGTAGTTTGAGTTTCTGTGTTGTGTAAATAGAGCTGTATTTTTGTGTTGAGCAAACTCACACACGTATACACTACTCACGTGAAAAATGAAATTAAAACGGTTTCTGTTGCGGTATTATCCACCAGGTTTGTTTATTTCAGATTTTCTTTTATCAATATGAAGAAACTAACTGTACGGTACTCTACTGTAAGTGTAACGTGTAAGTTAAATTGTCGGCAATGCGACATCAGTTTGCAAGCCCTCCACTCCTAGTCCTAGGCTACATTGATTGCCATCTGATCGAACGACTCATCTAAATGTTTTTATCAAATTTCTTTTTGTGAAAAATTTAAAAAATGTTTTTTTCCAAAATAAACTAACTAAGCCTACCGGCAGTACCGGTAACAATAGGTCAGAACCCGGGGATCTACTGAAACATTGTAATTGATAATGATATAATAATTAATATTACTAATACTAATATTAAAATTAGATCTACTAATTCTAATCATTTTTATTCTTATTCATTGAAGTTATTCTGAATAGGCATGGTCGTTTCTGTGAAAATTTAAGAGCAGATCAACTACAGATTCTTTATCTGTCATCTGTCATTTAATTAGACATGAAATAAAAAAAGATACTTTTCATTTTGACATTTAATTTTTTTTAATACACAGAGAATATCTTTGTTAATCTAGATTTTTTTCCCCCAGGTATTATACTTGAATATGAACAAGGAGGAACAGTGAAAACTAAATCAATAGATCTACTAGACCTGAAACCAGAGTAAGTTTAAAAACATATATATAAGCAAATTCATTTGTTGACTGAAGTGAGATGCATATGTACCGGTACCGCAGCAAAATAAATTGCAATCTATTAATAAACTTACTGTCAAATCAAAAGAATACATTCATGATAATATATTTTAGCACGAAATACGCCATAAATCTCAATCAAATGGCAATCTCTAGTGTCTGGTTATTCCAGTCTACACCGACAGTATTTATTGTGCCTGCTCTCCAGATAAGAATATAGCGTCAACGTTTGACATGACTTGTGGAATATGTCTAGCCTCGTTCTTCCGAGTCCCTTGTTAACTGGCACTGAAACATATTAAGATACACGATTCGTGTACAAATGATAAAATGTTTATTTTGTCAGTGTCTTAAATATTGGATATCAATAGCCCATCTTTTCCCAGTAAGATCACAACATCAACGTTGATTTAAATTGACAAGTAATTTGTGTTTTCAATGTCGAAGACTTTGGATGATATTGAGTTCTTAGCTCCTTTAATCTTTTCACACATGCAAGATATCAGAGTAGCATAAATAAGTGTATGCATGTATTTATTAACATAATTAATTTTATTTGATGTTTTTTTAAGGACTGACGTAGATAGTGTTGTAGATGAAATAACCAGAAAAGAACCATTGATAACGACTTCAAAAACTGATCAAGTTCGAAAACTAATAGTCCGTATCCTTTAGTCATCCAAAGAAGATATATAAAATTTAATTTGTGGTCTATTAAAATTAACCTATTGTTAATTAAAGGAATTCTTTATTAGATAGTATTAAAATGCCTAATAATAGATACTGCTGTCCAACCAATCAACGAAACAAAAAACAAAAAGTGCATGCAAATAGTTCTCTGGTTTCCTCCCTCAGCTTAAGACCCTTACGTGCATTAAACACCATTTCAGTGGTGAACGACAGTTTCTAGTCATTCGGATGGTGCAAAAAACTGAGTTCCTGTATACAAGTTGGCATGCATATAAAAGAACCCTTGATAGTTGGAATTCATATCACAATGCATTAAAGATACATTATGTAAGATTTAGATAAAGAACTAGCCATTCTTGCTATAATAGTTCGAAAGTAGATGATGTAAAATGAATAATTTGAAAATTTCATTCAAATTACTCTATTGCAAGCGAAGATATTAGCCTTTGAATTTTTGACAGACGTGTGTAATAATTTCAACCACCGTACTGGTTGATCGAAGCTAAGTCTTGGTCCTCCATATTTGATTAAATCAAAGTATCGCTGAACCATTTTAATCTATTTAATATCAGAGAAATCTGATGCCATTGAGAGTTGATTAAGGCCTGGATCAGTTAATTAATGTCTAATTAATAGTTTAGAAAACATTTCAGACCTAATGAAAAACCTGCAATAGGCAGATTTAGCTCTTGCATAATGCATGTTTAACCCCGTTGTACAGAAAAGTAGGATGTTAATAAACCCCATTTCATTTGCATTATTTTCTGTGCATCTAGTAATGTGAACCAGAATTTATTGTATTTAAAATCTTTGTGTCTCATTTGTCTCCTGATGTTTCCATACTTTCCTTAACCAAATAAATAGGTTTACAAGAAAAACTCTGTCATGTCGAAGATCGATATTTTTATTTATTCAAAGTAAGTGTAAAAATAAAACAATTGATTTTATGAGAAAGTTGATGGTATATTATGTTACGATTGATTTTAATTGGCCTGATCTTTTAAAAATTGTAAAATGTAAGGTAATATTTTTAATTAAAGATTCTGAGGTTGATTTTAGCATTATATAAATCCCTTGCAATTTGCAAACTACAATATTGTGAATATCAGTCCCAAAAATGGTTTAATTTCCTAAACTATTTACGAAGATATAAATAAATATAATGATTTGAAAAAAAATCCATTGATCTACATTGTCTGTTACTCTGTTGCTCCCAACATAACAAGTCTGCTGCCATCTAAAGTTATTTGCTGTAAAAGAATTTGATAGGCCTGTTTTTTTTTCCAATTGCATCCAAGCCGGGAGATTATTTAGCATTGATATTTTGGTTTTGTTTTCTTAATTAAATGTTAAATAATCAATCTGAGAGCCTAAATAAGCCGTGAGAAATTTGATATTTCTTAAAAATGAAAATCATGCATTGTTACTTTAAGACTATTTGTTATATTTTTTAGGTGTTGCGAGCCCATATACTTCCATTAACAAATGTGGCATTCAACAAATCAGGATCAAGGTGAATAACTGAATTATAACAGTATATGAGAAATGACAAAAGTTGGAACAATGAAACATAATTTGATGAAATTATCTTCCATTTTAAACAAATTTTCTCACATGATTACATTTTTATCTGTGTTGGTTGTGATCATTGATAAGCACTTCTCTTTAAATTCAAATGAAAACCACATTTATAGTTTACAAATATATAACTTCAAAGGACATATCAGCCTAAAGTCTATCATGGTGCCCCAGATTCAGATGTGTGGCAGTTTAGGAATTTTTTCAGACTTTACAAGCCTAATGTCCATTTATTATTATATCTGTTCTTTTCATGCAGCTTTATTACTGGAAGTTATGATCGTACATGTAAGGTGTGGGATACAGCATCTGGGGAAGAATTACATACCCTTGAAGGTCACAGAAATGTTGTTTATGCTATTGCTTTTAATAATCCTTTTGGGTGAGTACATGTAACAATATTGGTAACCATTATGTTTCTTGTTAGTGAAACAATAATTTGTGCCAGTCAAATATATATACAGGATTTATATGGTGCTACAGATTTTATATCACTTTGGGGCAGGGCATCTTCACGACATACCTCTGATACCTTGACTGAGTTAACCAAGTTTGTTGTACATGATTGTATCTTGTTAATGACACACACCAAACAAATTTATGCATCTGGGTCATCATGTCTCACAAACAAAGCGTGTGTAAATCATAGGTACATGTTTACAAAAATCGAATATTTTACTATACAACTCTATTAAGCTTACATGTAACATTAAGTACACTTCATGAAGTGGACCACTGGACAACTAGGGCTAAGGAATCAAACTGTAATAATATTTGTATACTCCAAGAAGTGGGCCACTGGACCACTAGGGTTAAGGAATCAAACTGTAATAATATTTGTACACTTCATAAAGCAGGCCACTGGACAACTAGGGTTAAGGAATCAAACTGTAATAATATTTGTATACTTCAAGAATTGGGCCACTGGACAACTAGGGCTAAGGAATCAAACTGTAATGTAGACTTCATGAAGCAGGCCACTGGACAACTAAGGTTAAGGAATCAAACTGTAATAATATTTGTACACTTCATGAAGCGGGCCACAGGACAACTAGGGCTGAGGACTCAAACTGTAATAATTTTTATTTTATTCCTATATATCTTAATAAAAGCAAGATTTCCAAGTGATTTTCACAGACAATATCAGCTGATGTTGACATCAATGTTGTTAATATGTGACAGTAAAAATGGAAGAGGGGTTATATTTTTTTGTGTAATGTGTAATAAAATATTTCCAAGTAAAACTGTACTAAAATATTTGTAATAAAAAAGTTTTAATAACTTCTTCTATTTTAGTGATAAAATTGCCACAGGATCATTTGATAAAACATGTAAATTATGGAGTGCTGAAACGGGAAAATGTTACCACACATATCGTGGTCATACAGCAGAAATAGTAAGTGCTACATGTATTAGAATGAATAGAAAGTATTCTGAACACTAGCTTGATTTGAGAATGACATTATTTTTTTCTTCATTTTGGTTAGGTTGACAATATATGAAGGAGAAGAATTTTGATAAGATTTATATATGATTGAATCTATAGATGATGAACCATAAGCTGACGATAAGAACTGTTTGAATATAGATAAATATACATGAACATGTATACACGTTGTTTTATTTTGTTTCAGGTGTGCCTTTCTTTTAATCCCCAGAGTTCTGTTATAGCTACAGGTAGTATGGATACTACAGCTAAATTATGGGATGTACAAACAGGAACAGAACTAAACACTTTAAGTGTAAGTCTTACCTACTTAAAACCTTTGTCATTGCTGTACCTTTAAAATGAGGTATGGGGTGGTGGTATAGTGGTCCAATGGGTGCACTTTAGGTCTGTCACTGTGTTGGGTGGTCTTGTTTCAATCCCAAGCTTTATAATTATGTGACAAGGAGTAGGGTCGCCTGCCCAATTTCATGGGTTTTCTGCACTGCTACCCTTATTTTCAAGGAAATTTGTTAAATAAAATTATACCATATGTTAATTCCGAAACTAAGTGGATGTTAAACCCCATTTCTCAGTGTCTCATATTAAAAATGTTGTAGTCCTACATTCCCACATATGTTGAAATGGAATAGACCACTACATTAATTTGCTTATCAGTGCCGTTTCATTGGTGGAATTATGCATTGATGTACATTGTCGTATTTTAAATTTCAGGGTCATTCTGCAGAAATCATATCGTTATCTTTTAATTCAACTGGTGCTTTACTCATAACTGGATCATTCGATCATACTGTTGCAGTGTGGGATACTAGATCTGGAGAGTAAGTCTAAAATAAAAATGAAGGCCATGTCAAAAAATATTATGGTTCTCAAATAATTTCTCGCCACTTCAAAACGGCTGCATGGCCTGTTTTTATTTCAAAATCGCATAATAATTACCGCAGGTAAATATTTTATCCTGGTTACAGGAAGTAAGTCTATGAAAAAAAAATTTGATTGAATCCATAGTCTCATTTATCAAGTACACGACCCTGATATATGTTAATGACAATCATAAACAATGCTGGATAATCAACAATTTGATGCGAAAAGAAGTCATTTAGCCAAGTGGTGATCCTTTGGCGATATAAAAACATAAAGATAAAAACTTCCCTGGTAAGGATTGTCTGAGAACCAGAATATTTTCTTTGTTTAACCTAATTATTATTGAAAGGGCAAAATGACAGAAGGCAAATAAAGATTTAATTGTTTTACATTAAAAAGCTACTGAATATCATTGGAGGGATTTTGAGTCTCATACAAATCACATTATTGCGAAAGGACCCCTAACTTACAACTCACAGTAGGGATTTTCCTAATGTATTTGCTGCCTAATACCATATTGCGTATGCCAGAGTATTCTCTCTTTTAACATCTGCATGTTACAAATACCAAAAATTAAATGATAAATTCCAAATATTCAATGGTTTTTGTATCAAGCGTGAATTGACATTTTACCTCTTTATCACATAGTACACAAAGTAGCAATTTTGTGAGAATTATTAAATCTTTTCCAAATGTCACTAAAATGTTTTTGCATAATAATTTAGTTGTTTTTCAGTTGTAAACTAAACCCCCGCCTTTTAATTCAGATATATCTGTACGTAAAAACTTTGAATTATAACTGGTGTCCATATGGACCCCTTGATACCTGCTATGTGATTCTCACAACGTGAACCGACAAGGGTTAACCCATTAACTGCGTAGGACGTTATATAACGTCCTGGACAACTGCCACTCACCGTGTGTAGGGCGTAATATAACGCCTTGGGGGTATTTCCCCCAACCTATTCTTCGAACATATGATCGCAGCATGTGTAAAACGGTCGAGGAAATCTAAATGAAGGGAAACAACTCTATTTACCATTAGTTTTAATATGGTTTCAGGCTACTATCATTTTTTTCAGGAATAAAAAAGTCAAATTAATTACACAATAGGGGGTAGTTAACGTTTTAAAAACTACACAGTTAACGGGTTAATGAGCCTCACTTTAATCCAATTGAATCCAATCTAGGAAATTATCTGTGGTTGATATTTTGGTTTTGTTTTCTTAATTAAATGCTAAATAATCAAGTCAAATACAGTTTAGCTAACATTAAGCCACGAAAAACGAGATGTTGTCTGAAAAATATGTAATACTATAGGGTTTATTTTAGTTCTATGAAAGGTGCTCTGTTTAATTTGCCAGAATCATCACTTGTTTATTTTAGAATCTTAAGAGAGAAAAGATACAATTAAGGAAGTTTATTATAGAACTAATAATATGAGTATCCGTTACTGATATTGAAGGCAGTTTAATAATTTGATGCTGCTTCATTTATGGAGTAGAAATTATTGCATACCAAACTTATAACTAGTCAGTGATTTTCAGAAAATGTGAGTTAGTAATATATTTCCTGATCTTTTTACAGAAAAGTTCACACTTTAATTGGCCATAAAGCAGAAATAAGCAGTGCTCAGTTTAACTGGGATTGTTCCCTTATAGCCACCGGTTCTATGGATAAAACCTGTAAAATATGGGACACAGAATCTGGTAAGTTATTAGAGTATGTTGACGAGTCGTGTACATTTCTCCGTTATCAATTGTTGATAGAGAAAGTTCTTCTGGATTTTACAGTCTGGTCTCCCCTAATGTAGAATGGAAGGTCTGGCATAGAAAAGCATAAAATAATTTGGATGGGATGAAAAACCAAAGTCCTGTGTATGCCATTGGCAGCTCATTAAAGATCCCTTGACAATTACAAATAGAAATAAAAGCAGGTTGTAGAACATTTTTAGTAAAATTACCCTTAAAGCACACTACATGTGAATATCTGATATCATTAAGCTAGTTGGTGTAGAAAAGTAGGAAGTTAAACCCCATTTCATTTTAATCAGTATAATGACATTAACCAACAAACCAAGTGCATTAACAATATTTTGTGACGAAAGAAATTTGGCTTGGGTGATACACTGACACTGAGTTAAAAATGAGTTTGTCTGCTGTGCTGTTAAACAACCCAACCCATTGTAAATGAAATGGGGTTTTAACGTCCTACTGTTCTGCTCCGAACTGGGCTAATGAAGACGGGCATACGCCATACAGTGGGATATGAGGGAAATTTTGCCCGGACAGCGGCACTACGGCCTACTCTTAATCGAATTCCAAGTGTCGAGGGATCTTTTACGTGCACGCCAATGTGTACACGGGACCTCAGTCAGTTTTTCGTCCAATCCGAATGACTAGACAGCTGTCCTTGTCAGGCCCTCTGTCCTGCAACACTGACAAGGGAGAACCACGCTGGAAAATCTGGATGAACTTTCTTGGCCAATGCAGGGATCGAACACCCGACCTCCAGGCTAGCGAGCCAGCACCTTACCCACTTAGCCACCGTGATCCCCAACCCATTGTAGAAATATGCAAACGTTAATGTGAATTGGATTGTTTAGTATATATTCTTTTCTAGGTAGATGTATTGGAACTTTAAGAGGACATGAAGATGAAGTTTTAGACGTAGCATTTGATTATACTGGACAACATTTATTAACAGCATCAGCTGATGGTACAGCTAGATGTTATAATTCAGTCACACATAATATTATATCAAAATTTGTCGGACATGAAGGAGAAATATCAAAGGTAATGAATCTTGGAATTTATTCACAGTATTTATGTTCATAAGACAAAGACTCCTGTAGATCTTTTTAACAATTTCTACTAATTAGTTAAAAAGTTAAGGGCTTGTTCAGTTTGAAATCACTTGTAGATATTCTGCACCGTGTTTATGTCCATGAGACAAATAAGCCTATTAGTTTTGAAGGAGAGTTATTGATTGTAAGCACTTGTTGATGTGGTAGCTGGAATGAATTCTATCAAATTGATTTCATTTCTTATACGGTAATCACTTCATAGTTAGTTCCCTTGTAAATGCTCAAGTTAGCTATAAAGGCGACAACTTTTGATAATTGCTCGGAAGATTTTTTGCTATCGGCATATGTTTCTTAAAGTCAGATCAATTGTTTGAATATTGTGAATATTATAAAAACATGGTATGTAAAAAAAATTGAGAAATTGTTATTGTATCTTTCAGATTTGTTTTAACCCACAAGGTACAAAAGTCTTAACTGCAAGTTCTGATAAAACGGCTAGAATCTGGGATCCTGAAACCGGTGAATGTAAACAAGTATTTGAAGGTCATTCAGATGAAATATTTAGCTGTACATTTAATTATGAAGGGAACACTATAATAACGGGTATGATAATTAATAACATTATTTCTTTTATGTCATGTAGAAACTTTTTGGATTGTGAATTTAGCGTGATATATTCCAAAGTACAGAGTTGAGTTCTCAATTGAATTTCAATAAGAAATAAAATGGTTTAATGTCCTACTTATCTGCTCCATCCGGCCTAACGAAGATGGGCTTACACCATACAATTTGCTATGAGGGAATTGAATTTCAATTATCAAAGGTTCTTTAATGTGCACACCAAGATATACACAGGACCTCAGTTTTTTATCCCATCCGAATGACTAGATGCTGTACCTTGCCAGGTCCACCGTCTTGCACCACTGACAAGGGCAAACTACGCCGAAAAGTACTAAGGAACTTTCTCAGACAACACCAGGATCGAACACATACCCTCTGTTTATTGAAAATGGAAATGAAATGGAATGGAGTTTAACGTCCTACTGTTTTGCTCCGAACTGGGCTAATGAAGACGGGCATCATGCCGTGTGCTATGAAGGGAAATTTTGCAGGGATCGAACACCCGACCTCCAGGTTAGCGAGCCAGCGTCTTAGCCACTTAGCCACCGTGATTCCCCTCTGTTTATTGAGTCAGCACCTTACGTACTAAGCCATCGTAAGTTTTCTGGAATAGTTTGCATTGGTATAAAGAAGATAGCCAATGTTTTTGCAGTCCATATTCTACAATTATTGCCCCTTTCTGATATGACTGTTTAGCAGAATATTCTTCCCAATCTGCACTCACTCTACAGAAATGTATTATTGACAGATTTTGTCTGATATTCAGGAATTGTGTTGGGCTAAATAAACATGTCATCTAGTGATTTTCTGTGTTTTTACAAAAATAATTCCATTTTCTTTGTAACTGATAGGATATTTGATAAAATATAGTTTTATAAACTCATTGTGTGCTCAAGTTTTTCATAAAATGTATTATTCTATTTCAGGAAGTAAAGACAATACATGTAGAATATGGAGATGATATCAAGGGTAGATAACTTGTGCAATCTTGTCATCAACTGGTAGTCATCTATATGTAACATTCATATCTATTTCAGATATTCAATATGGTGTTGATCTACAGAAAATATACTGTCAAAATATTCTATCATAGACTGTAGTTTAACTGTCTCATAAAACTACAGATATGATTCAATGATAAATATTCTATCAAGCCTTTCATATATTCAACATGAAAACCACATGCAAGTGTTGATCTGCAAAACATATACTGTTAAAATATTCTGTCATATTTTTCTTAGTGTAGAAGCTATATTCTTCTTCATCTTTCCCACTAAAACTCAAATTCTGGATAATTTAAAAAGCATAAGTTTGGTTTAAAAAAGTTTTCAAGAGTTTAAAATATGATGCTTTAACTGAATAAACAAAAACAAAAATATAAAAAAAACCTATTAAAAACAAGTTATTTCAACCATTTTCTCTTTATGCATAGATTGGTTGGATTAATGTTTAAAAATTAAAGAAAAGATATTATGAATATCTGTTATGGCAAAATTTTGTGGGACAATTGAAAAAGACTAGCGTTATTTACTTGTTTGAATTTATTCCAATGCCACATCAACGCGACGATACTAGTAATACATATGACCATTTATTTATATTTATTTATTCAGCTGAAAGTAATAAATAACCGTCCACTTGTTAGTCTATGGTTTGTGACACCAACCCCCGTTTTTGGGGTGCAAGTATTCCGTCCACAGTTCAGTATATATATTTTTTCAGCATTATTTGTTCTGTTATTGCCATTTTCTGGCACTTTGCCCTTATTAAGTTGCATTCTAATAACATAAACAAGGGCAACCAATGTTTCCAGTCAGATATATTTATACATGATTTTGTGAAGTATTTTGATCAAATTGATTGATATGGCCAGTTTTATCATTTCAATAAATCAAGCTTTACAACACCATGTAATTGTATTAAGTATTATTTGTCATGCATGTTTTCTTGTTTAGAGCATTGTGATTCTAGATTTCATAGTATTATATATAAACAGCATTTTAGATCAGCATTCCATCGATATATTTTATTATTAGCTTAGTGCATACATTCCAATCTAATTAAAACACAGATCCTAGATCAAATTTTGTTTTATTAGTTTTCTCTTTGATATAAGACTCAAGCCTCGTGGGTTTTCTCCGGGTCCTCCGGTTTCCTCCTACTGCTAAAGACCCCTACGCGCAAGCGAATTATTGAAATAAAATTAAACCATATGTTAGTCCCGAAATGACCTAGTTTGTGTCGAGTGGACGTTAAACTCCATTTCTCTCTCTCTCTCTCTTTGATATAAGACATTGATATCACAAATGGTCTGTTTGGGCAAGATTTGCTCTGAATTATGGGAGACACCTGTAAGGCATTAGAGAGCAAAACAAAATGTTAAATATAAATAATTTAGATTATTTAAAATTCACATATGTGACCTCTAACTGGAATGAATACTCTTGCAAACGGTTAGATCCGCATGGAGTTGAGGCAATTGGTTGTAGGAAAAAAATGAAACAGAATTATCTGTAGATTTGTATTTTAATCAGATTGTATACATTCCAAAGTTTATAAATTTTGTTCAGTATTGTAATATATCGTCGGTGAAGTGTCAAAAGGGTGTATCTAAGAATTTCTAAAGATTAAGAAATAGAACCTTTTGCATTTCAAAATTTCCACAAATCAAGATACACATGATACCCAGAACAGTTCTAATTGGCGCAGAGATGCACAGCTTAGACAGAGGGATACACCCTTTTGACACTTCACCGACGATATAGTATTTATCAGAATGTGTTCAATTGGGTTTACTCAGCATACAAACTATTTCTTAGAAAGAATAATTTATTATATTAAAGATATGTTAAATCGAGGATAATTGGACCAGGAAAAATCAAATTATGGGCTCAAATTGTCTTATAATAAGCCTGCAGTTGATTAAACAATTTGATTATTACTAGAGTGTCAGCCATTTAGTCTAATGTTGCTATCCTGCGGATGCATCTATAGTAAAAATTTATAGATTGTCAAAAAAATGTCATTGAAATATCTTTTAATAAAAGATATGTTTTTGGTAACAGATATATTTTTCCTGGTAGTTTATGTGTTTACCTTTATAAGTATTAGATGTAAGAAATGCAGTCAACAGTTTTCTACCAAATATATAATTATTAATTTGTGCTTTATTTGTATTCAATTTTAGAGAACATATATTTACTTTATCACTCCTTGCCTTGCACCATGTAAAGTGTTCAGAATAGAAAATTGTATTTATATTTTTAGAATATATTAACCATGTGTACTATTGATTTCTTTCAGTTTATTATTACATCTTCGTTTAAATAATCATTATGATGAATACATAATAAGCATACTCCATTAGTTTTAAATTATTCTAAATTCGTCCATTGCCTAAAATTTTATAGAGAAATATTTTCTTTTTTTGCATTGATTACAATTTAAAAAAACATAAATTTGTTGTTATATGTGCTTTTTCGTTGTTATGATTTTAAAGTTTATTATGGTTTTGCCTGTGAAAATGAACTATTTGATATAAAATAATTTATTTTATTTATTACTTGATTTGCATGAAGATATTAGTACACTGTAATAAATACGACACCAGATTTGTCATCTAATTAAAATGTGTGTAGTTGTTGCTGAATTCAAGTGAAATAAAATATCGAGAAGGCGATATGCAATTTCCTTATAATGATTTATTGGTTGTTGTTCCTTATATTAAACACAATTATAGTAAACACAGAAACGATTGAATGTTAATCAGTTTATATACATTCATATTACATTATTATATGCAGTGCGATTTAATTAGCTCCTTTATTGTCTGAAAGTGTTTTTCTTTCAAGTTTATCCGATTTTCTTTAAACAAAGGACAACTTTACAATGACAACTCTACACACTCTTCGAACGACGAAATTTGAGAACTTTCTAAAAACTAAAAGTAAACTGGTAGCTACATATCACTTTACCATCGTAACGCCGAGGTTAGATGTTAGGTACCGGAGTCTGCCGAGGTTTACCGAATGGATGTTATGACTGAGTCTTGGCGACCACCGTATGTCGTACCTGCTCAATATTTGGGAATAATGGGTTTTGAATGACTGAATGCATAATATACTAGATAAAAACTCGACCACTCTAATACCACCAGTCAAGTTTATTAAACCATATTAGATTTAGCATGTAGGCCTTACAAACGCTATAATTCAACGGAAATAACCGGAAAACGACGAAGGTTGTGTCAAATGGGGATACACTGTCTTAAAAATGTTGCCAGCAATGACAGCTGTCCAAACAAGCGGGTGCCATTGCACGATACGCCCACATTTTGGAAGATATGGACAGGGAACAAGCCAAAAAAAACCAACCCAAAAAACGATGTTTCGTGCAATCAGGAGCCATAATCCAGGTTGTTACGATCCGATATGCACCAGTATCGAAAGGTGCCGAGATCTTTGGGATATAAACATTTTTTAAGCATCATCAAAATCAGATAAAATTCTGACTAGAGTGTCCACAAGCTAAAAACGCGATTTTTTCGTACATGTTACACCAAAATAGTATGGGGGTTGGATGGCCGAATGCACGAGCGCGCTGTATCATACGGTCTGTCATTGAGTCAACTGGCGGGGTTTCGATTCCCCGGTTGTACGTGACAAGGAGTAGGGTCGCCTGTCCAACCTCGTGGGTTTTCTCCGGTTTCCTTTCACTGCTAAAGACCCCTACGCGCAAGCGAATGATTGAAATAAAATTAAACCATATGTTAGTCCCAAAATGACCTAGTTTGTATCGAGTGGACGTTAAACCCCATCTCTATCTCTCTCTCTCTCTCTCTCTCTCTCTCTCTCTCTCTCTCCAAAATAGTATGTTGATTCTCATTTCCGTTCCATATCTTTACGCGATAATGTCGGTAGCGTAGTTGTGATTTCTTACTGATATTCAGGATCTTACTAATCACCGACACAGAGCGTTTGATATTTGTTTTTGTTTTTTGGGGTTTTTTTTTGTTTTGTTAATAGCGCTCAAAGTATTGCAAGGGTTATAGATATGCATATTCTACATATATCCAATTTCAAATATCATCAAAGATTTAAGATTGTACTACAGATGACCTAATTAATATCTAAGGAATTTCATCTTAACTAAAATATTCCTGATTATTTTTGGGTTTATCTTCTTATTTAAAGATTTCCTCTGCGGAAATATCCCTTTTAGATAAAAAATTTCCCCTTTTATTTTTATTTTTCTACTTTTTACTAGATTGTATTTGAACCTGATACCCCTCTCTAGAAATTTTCCATCATTATTTAACGGTACATTTAACGGTACATTAACGGTAGATGAGAGTACGGATTGTCATTAGCCTTTATTATAAATATATACCTACAATAATAACAGTAATAATACAGATGTCATCGGAAATGTATACTGTAGCCTGGTATTAAATAGATAATTGTCTGTGGAATAGCTAGTTTTGGTCTGTTCTGTCCGGTAAAGGGCTCGCGGATATAGAAATGAAATGAAATGGGGTTTAACGTCCTACTTTTATGCATGACTTTTGTCACCGCAATGCTGTGCGTCGCGTCAAGGCGTGTCATTTTGGTGGTAGCCGTGTTTGCGCCCTGTGTACGCAATGCGCGGCCAGAAATGGGCCGCATTGCATGGTAAGCAGTGGGGGGCAATGACACTACTTGTTGACGCATAAGTTAAAGATACATTATGGGAGATTAGATAAAGAGCTGACAGTTTTCACTATTCATTATAATAGTTAAAAAACTAGATAATGTAAAGGGAATTTGCTGAAGATTTCAGTCAAATTGATCCACTCTGAACCGAGATTTTAGAGATTGTCGGTCAAAAAAAACCCCAACATAGTCTCGATTATCCATTTCATGATTAAATCATGAATGAAAGTTGAGCAGCATATGGGATCCTAATCCAGTAAATATAGCAGGCTAGCGTTGGCATCGAGAGTTGATTATTGTCTGGATAAGTTAATTAATGTCCAATAAATAAATTAAAGGTCTATTAAGAAAGACCTGCAACAGGCAGATTTAACTCTTGCATAATGTATGTTTAAGTATTGTTCGCGCATTGTTCATGTCCGCCGCTGGTAGCAGATTACCATGAACGCAATCACACATATTGATACGCAGTGTTCGCGTCGAGTTCGCAGTGTTCACGCATGGTTCAAGCAAGTGGCACGCACATGGCACGAACATCGATGCGTGCCGAAATTTTGAAATTTTTCTGTACGACATGGCACGCACGCCAACCCTTCACACACTCCTCGCGTGCATGTGTCAGGGTGGCTATAGCCTGGGAGAACCCCGACTGTCTTAGGAAACGTTACATGAGAAATATAAGCCCATTCCTTCCTATCAAGTGAATGCGCCAGGCTAACCAATCTTTTATACGTGTTGTGTGAATATTTATACCTGTTGTCAGTGTTGTCAAAGCGATTTTCATAAAATGGTGTGTTTAAATAATCTAGAAAGGTGCACCACCACATCAAAATCTGAAAACAAGTTCTGTGGCTCTCAACCCAAAATGTCCCAGCCATCGAAAAACCGACATCCCGTGCACAAATTGTTAATCCCAAAGAGTGCAGGTGGAAACCGTCTTATCTGTGTGTAGCAAAGTTTCTAAATGACGAAAACACCAGGTAGTAAGATTTTATTAACAGGTATATCAAATTACACAATATGATGATAATAATGCGGATAAAGATAAACTCTGAAATAAACAAAGAAATATGTAAATATCGAGAATTATAATTATTATATACATGTACATAATAATTATATTTAAACAATGGAACGGGAATTAGTTTTATTGCAAGAACATGGATATTGATAAGAAGTAACTGAAAATAGCGACCTAATTAACATATTTACAATGAGCTTAATAATGGCACTGACATAACCAATAATGAGACCATATCAAATACGGCACAATACGACTCAAATTAATGATATGAATGAATTAAAACTGCCCGGGCAAAAGTTTCCTCATAGCACGCTGTATGGTGGATGCCCGTCTTCATTTGCCCAGTCGGAGCAGAACACTAGGACGTTAAACCCAATTTCATTTCATTTTTGCATTCATATGTGACATCTAAAAAAACCCATTAAATTGTTATCCAGAAACATTTTAGTGACATATGGAAAAGATTTAATAATTCTCACAAAATTGATACTATGTGTACTATGTGATAAAGAGGTTTTATCACCCAATAATACATTCTACAGTAGATATCGCTTGTGTGATAAATTTCATAATCTACTGAGATATCTCCTTAGGAGATATCGCTTTACATGAATTTGATTGGTCAGTTGAATAGGAACTACTTTTTTTTTATTTTCAAAGAACGGCTCATTTCTTATTACAAATAACTTTTTTTTTAATTAAAAATGAACTATTGTTATTCAATTGACCTTGATGGAAACACTGGGTCAATATAAAGGACTTTGCAATGGTTGAATTGCTGTCAAAAAATGATGTATCACTACGCCGTAATGTTCAGTAAAAGTGAAATCTATAGCAAAGAATTATATTTATCTATTTGTGCATGTAAGAAGGGATTGGGTGATAAATAAATCTCCTACTCGTCTTTTTTGATATCATTATTAAAGAAAAAAAAACAAACAAAAAACGAAACAAATAAAACAAAGAAAATGAAAAGAGCAGTTCATTACCATTCTACATTAACAAAATAAAGGAAATCAAATAAGAGCAAAGTAACACTAATGTTAATACTTTTTTAACGAACATATCATAAATATAATTAATTTTACCTATAATATCTATTTCAGAAATCAGACTTTATCAATCAATTACAATCAAAATGTTTATCGCTCTGCTTACCCAGAGCTGAAAATGCTCATTATCAAACTTAGTCAAGGTATTGATGTGATGAAACGTTTAATTTTATTTCAATAATTATGTTATTGTTTCCTGGGGTAGTTTAGTTCCTGTTTAATTTATGCCCCTGTTTAATTTATATATTGTGTTATCACTACTTATATTGTTACAGTATCTGTTATTGAATATGACAAAGTGCTCAATATTAAGACCATAATTTATATATGTAAAATATTTATTTAGATACATTGAACCAATTTGAACTCCACATCTGCGAACCCTTTGAACCTGGTTATCTACATGTGCATTTGTATGTACAGCTATTAGATGTGTCCTTATAATATTAGTGCTTTTATGGGTTTATTATTTATGGTTTAAATCAGTAGTTTTTAACTATTATAGTGAGAACTGCCAACTCTTTATCGAATCTCCCATAATGTATCTTTAAGCATGAATCCCAAGGTAATTGCATAATTATTCTGTATTGTTGCAAAAGCAGAAACATTTACGACTCCATTCGTTTGAAATCCATTTTCGAGATCACGTTGTAGTAGAGTCTATTATGATATGTACATGTTTACTCACTGCACATTATTTATTTTAACCAATTTATAGTTTTTTGAAATCATATCCGAATTATTACCCTTATTACTATTATTAGTGTCAACATATTTTGATGTTCTAACTTATGACGTCATTAGGAAGACTATCGCCGTCAGAAAACGTCATTCCACTGAGGATCACTGTCAAAGCCGATCACATTATTTCTCTTGCGTCTTTCTTGTATTCAATTGCTAAGTTTTTCTAAGTTTGTTT